TGACGTAACCGCCCGTATAGAGGGCAAATGGGATGAACAAATCGCGCAGGCGATCGACTCTTCCTACTTACATGTCCTTTGGCGCATCACTCCATTCCCAAAGGAGTCCCCTCAATACTATGGCTTTACTGCATTCGGCATGACTCTGAACGAGATCACGAGCGACCTCGAGGGCCGTCTGCCTCCTACGGATTCACGATTCCGACCCGATGTGCGTGCACTAGAACATGGGAACGACGTTGAGGCGGAGGCTCAGAAGACCCGTGTCGAGGAGATGCAGAGGGATAGGCGGAGACGTGGCGTAGACCGAGTCCCAAGGTGGTTTAAGCAGGATGGGGATGAGTGGACATATGTTGGAGGGTATTGGGAGGCTAGGGCAAAGGGTTGGAAGACTCCAGTCGAGCCACTTTGGTGATGCCAAGACTCATTGATGTTGCATCTCTGTTTATACGAGGCCAGTGTGGATAGTAAATACACAGAAATTCGGTGATCTGGCTCACCGGGTTTCCTTAGAGACCTTAGTATATTGAAATCTAGCACATATTCATCACATAAAATATCATTTGTTTAAATGTCTGCATTTCCTATATAAACCAGAGTCCAGAAAGTCCGGGAATCCAAATCTCTGGCAGTCTCCATCCAGCTGTGTGTAGGTCTGTCTGGATCTAACTGTGCACAACTTGTCAGTTCATCATGTCAATGTCATATAATGAGCTCATTTTTATGACTTGTTATAATCCCAAACACATCAATGTAGTAATCCCCCAGTCTGGCCTTGCCTGAAGATCACAACTTTGTGCAGCTGCAGATTATTTGGGCTTTCACCTGTCCTTCTTGTGTGCTAGGCTGTCCAACTCTCTCATTCTCTATTGAAGGTGGCTACATTTTTGTGCTCACCATGATCCTTATGATAAGTTGGTACAAAACGAACCGCATGAACACGTGCTATCGTAGAATAATGCTCTCTTGTAAAGAAAGAAAAATTGTCTATCACCTGGCGCAGACTAGGAGCAGCGGCTGGCAGGAAGACCCCCGCAGGATATTGCCTCTGCGCTTGTAAGCGCATTCGAGAAACCTCATAGAACCCAAAAAAACTTGCGAAGAAGGCACGATGACACTTCCGAACTTCCGTCATCAGGGAGCTCTTGATCGGACACTACTGAGCGAGGTGGGATAAAGAATTCACGTGATATGAGCGCTGAGCTGCTAGCCAGTGATAAAAGAGGAGTTTGAAGAGACGCAAAGTCACAAGATGACTAAGACCGGGATAAGATTAAATCTAGGTCCTGGAATACTAATCGACAGCTCGTTCATTAGACAGACTGATCACCAGTCTACCTGGAATACTTGAAGCGGCTGGTCTATCGATATGAAAATAGCTGCAAGAGTCTGGGGTCTTTTCACTGTGAATGACGTGAGGCTCAGGGTTTGAAGTTGTTCGAAGGAAACTGAGAAAGATCCGAATGATAACAGGTTACCATGAACTCGTCTCGGCCAGCGTTCCGAACTCCGGTAGTACCTAATGGCCCTGTGGCACCTATAGTTTGACTGCTCGACCGAACCGAATACGGAAAACGTGTTTTCTCAATATAAGACCGCTGCAGGCGAGGAGGGCAGCAGAGGATGAAGATGCTTTCAGCAACCCTGCGAAACAGCACCCTCGCGGCAGGACCTACACTCCGGCGAAGTCTGGCAACACATGCGCCGTTTTATGAAAAGGATTGTTCTTCGATCACCCCACCTTATGCCCAGCTTATTGAAAAATGGGAACATGTTCGGGAGCTCCTGAACAACCGTCCTTTGACTTTGGCTGAAAAGATCTTGTACAGTCATCTCAATGACCCAGAGAAGAGCTTGTCTGGAGGAGGGAAGATCAGGGGAGAGAGCTACCTCCAGCTCACTCCTCAGCGAGTCGCAATGCAAGACGCTTCCGCTCAGTATGTTATTATTGCGTTATTCTGAGTCAGTCTTAATCATGTACTTGTTTATAGAATGGCTTTGTATGCATCATATCAGTTCTTGTTGTAGATATTGTGATTTGACGTTCTTGGCAGGCTTCAGTTTATGAGTGCCGGTCTCTCTCGATGTGCCGTTCCAACCAGCATACACTGTGACCATCTCATTCAAGCTATCGACGGTGCAGAATCAGACTTGAAGGTATGGTGCCGTCCTCAGAACAGCATGTGTTGCTCATGAAAAGGACTCAAGCGGTCGATTACTTCCAATGAGGAGGTGTTCGATTTCCTCGAAAGTGCTGCTCGCAAGTACGGCATCGAATTCTGGAAACCGGGGTCTGGAATCATTCACCAGATCGTACTCGAGAACTATGCTGCTCCAGGAATGCTCATGTGAGTGCACCCATGGCGTATGTGCCTTATAGATTCTAAAAATATCAATAAACAGGCTAGGCACAGGTGAATAACTTCGCGAAGACTTTAGTTGTTGGGCTGACGTAGTGGTAGATTCACACACGCCCAATGCCGGAGGGCTCGGTCTGCTGGCCATTGGTGTTGGAGGTGCTGATGCGGTTGACGCCATGACTGGAACTCCTTGGGAACTGAAGGCCCCTCAGGTTGTTGGTAGGACAATTTAAATCACAGTTACGCAGTCCTTCTAACAGAATTGATGTCAGGCATACACTTGACAGGGAAACTCAGTGGATGGGCAACGCCTAAAGACTTGATCCTTCACCTCGCTGGAAAATTGACAGTCCGGGTGAGTAAAATATCAACTTTTGAAAATGGGTTACCAACACATACAGGGAGGTACTGGACGAATTTTGGAGTACTTCGGCCCTGGTGTGGCCAACCAGTCATGTACAGGTGAACTAGCACCAGAAATATAAGTTGACTTTGCACTGATCAGGATTTCATGCTAGGTCTCGCTACGGTTGCTAATATGGGAGCTGAAGTCGGTGCTACTACCTCTACTTTTCCTTACACGGACAATATGCGCGCGTACTTGAATGCAACGGGACGTGCGCCTGTCGCTCGTGCTGCTGACAAGGCTGCATCAATGGGCTTCCTGAACGCCGATGAGGGTGCTGAATATGACGAAGTCATTGAAATCGTACGGTCGTCCTTGATTCAGCAGACTGGGTATCTTATTCGCATCTACAGAACTTGTCCGAACTTGAACCAACTATCAACGGTCCTTTCACTCCTGATTTGGCAACACCTTTATCGAAGTTCGGGTCTTTTGTGAAAGAACGGGGTTGGAAGGACGAGCTTTCCGCTGGCCTTATTGGTTCATGCACTAACAGTTCGTACGAAGACATGGTAAGTTGTTTTTAGTTTGATTACACACTGCTGACCCGCTATAGACGCGAGTAGCAGAGCTGGCCAAACAAGCAAAGGCTGCTGGCCTTGCCACCAAGGTTCCTTTCCTTTGCACTCCCGGTTCTGAACAGATTCGTGCGACTATGGAGCGCGACGGCGTTATAAACACTTTGGAAGATGTCGGCGCTGTGGTTTTGGCAAATGCGTGCGGTCCTTGTATTGGTCAAGTACGAATTACGTTCATTCCCCAATCACAACTTCTGACTTCTTCGCTTAGTGGAAACGAGATGATATGAAGGGTGAAGAAAATGGTAAATGAGTCTAGTAAATATTGATTGGACAAGCTAAACTTCTTTCTAAAGCAATCTTGACATCTTTCAACCGGTAAGAAAAACGCTTTTCAACCCGTGACGTTACTTATTTTCAATGATGCAGGAACTTCAAGTCTCGCAATGATGGAAATCAACTAACTATGAACTTTCTCGCGTCGCCTACAATTGTGACGGCTATGGCATTCTCTGGCTCACTATCGTTTAATCCGATGACGGATGCCCTGACTCTGCCCTCTGGCCAACTGTTTAGGTTCACTCCACCCGCTGGACAGGATTTACCAACAGAAGGTTTCACTCAAGGCAACACCGACTACTATCCCTCTCCAACGCCAGAGCCACAACCAGAAACCGAGGTTATCATTCGTGCAGATTCTCAGCGTCTCGAACTGTTGGAGCCTTTCTCAAGTCATTTTGGCGACAGGGGTCTGGAACTCCCGCCCTTGAAAGTACTGATGCGCGTAAGAGGAAAATGTACTACTGACCACATCTCTGCGGCTGTAAGTGAGATAAATGTTTGCTGAAGTCGCCCAGCTAACTCACGTACAGGGCCCCTGGTTGAAATACAAAGGACATCTCACTAACATTTCTGAAAATCTTCGTACGTCTATGCGTACTCTTAGCACATCTCGTTCTGACTATTACTTGCAGTTATCACGGTGTGTCGCACGAGCTGCCATCTTGTAAGTATGATATTAACTTGACAACCAATTCAGGCTGTGAACGACGAAGGGGGCAACGTGAATGTTGCATTCGACCATGATCGGGCCGCTGGCGAGACTGAGACCGATACCATTCCCGCAGTCGCAAAACGGTTCAAAGCTCGCAATCAGCCTTGGACTCTGGTCGTTGATGACAATTATGGCGAAGGTAGTGCCCGTGAGCATGCTGCACTTCAGCCTAGATTCTATGGTACGTTGCATTATCCCGCATTGCATTCAAGCGGTTTCTCAATCGTGTTAGGGTGTGCAATGATCGTCGCAAGGTCTTTTGCTCGAATTCACGAGACTAACCTGAAGGTTAGTCGTGGTTAAACAGCTGTAGAATACTAGTCTAATTGAAATGCAGAAACAAGGAGTTCTTCCCCTTTGGTTCGCCGACAAGGCCGACTACTCTCGCATCGGATCAGGCGACGTAGTCGAGACTATTGGCTTGGCAGACCTTATCGAGGGACGACAAAACGCCGCAGTAAAGCTCAAGGTCACAAAGCGTACCGGCGAGGTATTTGAGATACTCACAAAACACACTATGTCGGAAGATCAGTTGAAGTGGTTTTGCGCGGGTTCTGCCCTCAATTTCATTCGCTCACAGATGCCATGATGGACCAATTACGTTCTGAATTGTAATGTACAAAAGCTGCGAGTGGATATCATTACTATTGGGGGAATATATGCTACCTTGAACTCGTTAAAGATTGCCCCAGGGAAGACAGTTGTTGAGATCCGATGTGATCCTGTCCTTTGAGTGCATCCAAAGCTTGCTTAGCAAGAAGGACAGCAGATTCTGGCATGCCTGCCAGTTGAGCAACCTTGAGGCCATGACTATCTCGATTCACGCCTGGACGCAAACGATGGGAGTAGGCAAAATGGTTGTCCTGATAGTTCTCCTGAGTAGACATAAATACGATCTCAGTTTGGCCACTTACGTCTGTCTCATCAACATCTGTACAAAAGAACCCGACTTCTTGGAAGACGCCGCCGCCACGGTGACTATCGGAGTAACCAAGCATATCTGCGAGTTCATGAAAATGAGTTGCAAACAAAGCCCGACACTGATTTTGGGTGACAAGATGATGTACGGCAGCAAATGCTATTGCCAGACCATCTTTTACGGTGGTTCCACGACCCACTTCATCCATGATGACCTACAGGATTTTCAATTTCATACGTGCTGGGATGAGTAAACCAACAACCTACCAAGCTCATTGGAGTTGCCCGACGTAGAATTTCAGCTGTTTCCAGCATCTCCACCATGAATGTACTTCTGTCACGAAACAGATCATCCTTGGCCCCTACTCTGGAAAAGAGTTTGTCTACAACTCCGATGACAGCGTGGTCCGCGGGTACAAAGGAACCAGTCTGAGCGAGTATAGCAATCAAAGCTGCTTGTCGCAGGAATGTTGATTTCCCTGCCATGTTCGGGCCTGTGATTATGTGAAGCCGAGAGGCACGATCCAGTACCACGGAGTTCGGAGTGAAGACTCGACCTGAAGTGAGCAGGCCAAGTTCTACGCTTGGATGTCGTCCATTGGTCACCTCATATGTCATGCTCATATGACGTAAGTAAAGGTCAGTGGGATGTGCATTGAGTAACGTACTTATCAGTGATAACGGGCCTCGTGAACCGTAATTCAGCTGCAAGAATCGCCAATCCGAGGGTAACATCCAATTCGTCCATTATCCGCGCATTCCTTCGAAGATGGGTCGCAAAGGCTTTAACCTGATTTTTCAAATGAACCTATGATAACACGTTTTGAACGGGGACAACCGACCTCATTGCGCAACAGGCTGAAAGCTTCCTTTTCAGCGTTCGTGATCGCCGTCGCAGTTTCAACTAGCTGATTGCCTAGAGACGACCATGACTACAACCGATCATTTTAAACGAGGCACCTTTCATGAAAGAGGAAGGGGGACGAACAGACCTGGTAAAAATAGGAGCTAGTCGAACCGCTCTCCGATATATTAATGAAGAGCGGCGATGCCTTCACAACAGCCTGGTCTCTCCTCGAGCGACCGATGTGGACATGCATTCCTAGCGCAGGAGAAGTCCTCAGGGTCAGAGAAGGTGCTTCTACTCAACTGAGTCAGTGGCGGCCCGATGGAAGATATGCGCCTTACCATAGTCTACTTGGAGTTGACGTTCCATTTTCCTTCTTTGCTCTAATAAATCGACGAGGTTGGTATGCAGAGACATCAGTTGCGAAGAAAATCTGGACCATGAAACGTAAGTAATGAGGGTCTGGATCGACAACGCTGCGTACTCTGGTCGAATGAAACACCTGAAGGGAATATCAAACTTGAAACCAATTTTGCTGGACTCCTCCGCATCTGCTGGAAGAGAGCCATCGGCGTCCTGATCATCTTTTGACTCATCTGTAGTTTCAATATTTCGCAAAGCCAGATTGATTCGACTCTCAAGGTCTTGCAGATCTGCCATTCGGCATAAAAGAGCATCGACACTTGACCAATCTTCCGAAAGCAGAAAGCCTCGTTCCGAACTTTCCATCTGCTTCTCGAGTTCCAAGCGCTTGCGAATTGCACTCCAGACGTTAATCGTCTTGCTGATCGAAACCAAATCGCCAGGATCACCTCGCCCAAGAAGGAACCTTTGAACGATCCGTGTCGTGTCTTCGACTTCATCCAAGAACTGCCTGACGTCGCTGAGTAAGTGTGGCCTGGCGTGAAAGAATGCTACCAATGACTGTCGAGCTTGTATTTCTTTGACCGATGTACTCGGTGAACCTGAGTGTGTGTTAGGGGCTTTGGAGTTCTATTAAATAACAAAGACTCACACAACCATCGAGCCAGTAGACGTGTTCCGCTCCGTGTTACAGTTCTTTTGACGACGCTCAGCAAGCTACCTGTCGTACCGCCTTCTCGCGTGCTTTCCCTGATTTCAAGTGCCTTGATAGTGTGAGAGTCGATTTGCATGCGATCCACGTTGCCTTCGCGACTCGGCATTGAGAGACTTGGCATGTGCTCCAACAAGTGAGCGTGCAGAAAGTTGGTAAGAATTGTGATAGCGGACGACTCCTCGGGAGAATATGCGGATGGAACAGAAGTCAAGTCTCCTTCCAGTTTGTTGAGGTCATCTGGAGCAGCAGCAGTCTCGAGTGAATCCTTCACCAAGGTGCCTTGAGAGGGCGTAGCGTACGAAACAAAGCATCCTTCATCCACAAGCAACTGATGAATGGGATGCGAAAAGTTGGCTTGGAATTTATCCTCTAGGACGACCTCTCGTGGGCATATCCTCGCAAGGTCATCCTTCAGAGCCTCCCTAGACGATGTCTTTGCGAAAAATTCACCTGTAGAGACGTCGATCCAGGCTAGTCCTATAGGTGTGGCATCCATTTCTTCCATTGTACCATCGGCGCTGATGGACAATAGATAATTATTTTCAAACTGGTTGATGAATGGCTCATCGATGAGCGTCCCAGGGGTTATCACGCGAACCACTCGTCTATCGAACTCGGGTTTCTGACCCGACGCAGAATACCGAGGAAATTCTTCACACATCGCGACGAACCGTTTATTGTGTTGGACAAGTACTTTGAGATACTTATCCAGATGCATTAATGGGAAACCGCACATCGCGATGTTTTGCTTGTCCCAGACGCGAGAAGTCAGCTTGATATTTAGTAGACGAGCCACCTCAATTGCTTGATCAAAGTAAGACTGCAGCGGAAACAGTTAAGCAAAGTTCGTCAAAGTAGAGGGCAGCGCGCCGTACCTCGTAAAACTGACCAACACGAGTCAGGAGGATGCAATGGGGAAATTTAGCAAGGTTGTTCAGGATCTCAGTGGCAAGCATGTTGCGCGGCTGTTTTGGAGGTGCAACGTTGTCTGCCGAGTCGTCCACCTTTGTTTTTCGACGCCGGCGAGTCTTCGCTGGAGTGTCGGTAGTTGCAGAGATGTCTGCTCCTGTAAGAATTACATGGTAGTCTGCAATCGATCAGCCGGGGAATGAACATACCTGCGTCGGCAGCGGGAGAACCATCGGATACTGCTTTTTTTTTGTCGACCTCTGCGTTTTCTGGGTTGTTCTTTCTCGACGACTGCACTACCTTGCTGCGATGGAGCGTCCAAACCTTGTATGTTTCTTACGCTCCTTTCAGGCGCATTGGAGGAATCCTTGGTGATGTTCAAGCGAGAAGCTGGATGGACCGCATGCGCATTTACTTTTCATAAGAAAGGAATATCACAGATACATCTGAATTGCGCACAAGAAGGAATTACAAGATCATTAGGGACGCTCGTGTCACTTGGGCTCTGCAGCTTGGTAGAAGGAGGCAGAAGCGAATGCTCCTCCGCCACGACGCGTCGCTTCGGCAGCTCTGAAAACTTCTTCCTTGTGATGGTCACCGAGGGACGTGACTTGACGGTGACCGCGTCGTCGAGACAAGACACGAAACCTGAATGAAAAGGCCGCGTCTGGAGATCAAGCAACAGCTTCCGTCTACCACAACAAGACATGCGGCGACATGCTGTACTAAGAACCACCATTCAAAGCACGTCAGTTATTTTTCAATGCAAAGCAAAGTAAAACTGCAGATGCCTAGAGAATGCTACTCCAGAGTCCAGACACGGTGTTCGGACCCGTCGCGACGGTGGCGCGGCTGAGCGGAGTTTTAATAGGACGAGGTCAACTTTCCCCTTCGTCTCTGCTTTGCTCTGCACGCAAGTGAAGTAACCCAAAACTCAAACTTCTCACCAAATGTCTTTCGCCGGCAGACGCAGAGGAAACAAGGTCAAGAAGGGTGTCCAGTTCACCCTGATGGTCGTTGGTTAGTCGTTCTTTCCAGGTGTTATTTCGATTGGTGTTCGGTGTTTGTTGACCGGTCGTTTTTCTCAACGTGTTGCAGGTGCCTCTGGAACTGGCCGTACGACCTTTGTGAACACCCTTTGCGAGTCCGAAGTCCTGGCGCACAAGGTCTCTGACAACCCAGACACCGCGCACATCGAGGAGGGTATCAGAATCAAGCCTGCCAACGTCGGTCAGTTGCACCAACCGTGTATTGTTTATATCTTATTCAAACATATCATGCATTGTCAGAGTTGGAGGAGGATGGTGTTCGCATTGCCCTTACCATTGTTGACACGCCTGGTTTTGGGGACAATATCGACAATGAGTTTGCGTTCGTATATACCCATCCCTACATATCCCACTGAATAACGTTTGGTTTTAGCTTCCAAGAAATTGTTGGCTACCTCGAGCGTCAATACGATGACATTTTGGCTGAGGAGTCTCGCATCAAGCGTAACCCTCGCTTCAGGGATAACCGTGTACATGCGCTCTTGTATTTCATCCCTCCGACGGGTCACTCGTACGCATATTTTTGCGCATCATGTTGATATGGTACGCTAACTGGGCTATGATATAGCCTGAGAGAGATGGACATTGAACTGATGCGCCGTCTTTCGCCTCGTGTTAATGTGATTCCTGTTATTGGAAAAGCAGATTCTTTGACACCCAGCGAGCTTCGGGGATTCAAGAAGCGGGTTCGTTCCCCCGGTTTTTATTTTATTTGGCTTACGTTGACGTGATGACGTAGATCATGGAGGATATTGAGCACTACGACATCCCCGTCTACAACTTCCCTTATGACGTGGAGGAGGACGACGAGGAAACCATCCAAGACAACAGCGAGTTGCGGGTATGTGACGTAATTTGAGTCTAATGTGATTATTTATGTAAGTGATACAGGCATTGCTTCCTTTTGCCATCATCGGTTCGGAGGAGGAAATCGAGTTTGATGGGCAACCGGTACGCGCCAGGATATACCCTTGGGGTATTGCCGAAGTCGACAACCCAAAACATTCGGACTTCAGCAGACTACGGAGTGCGTTGTTAAAGTAAGTGTGGTGTAGCATCTTGTAGAAAACGCTCAAAGGAATTGGTTTAGCTCTCACCTTGGTGACCTGAAGTCACTGACGCATGACGTACTTTACGAGACTTACCGTACTGAGAAGCTTTCTCGGACAGTGCACGCCGACACACAGTGAGAATATCGATTTGATGCCGGCGCCCACGCTAATCAATAAATTGTGTAGCGATTCTTCTATTCTCCCAGAAGAGCTGGCGACCCAGAGCGTGCGTCTGAAGGAAGAGCAGCTTCGCAGGGAAGAGGAGAAAGTAGGTGATAATAAACAGCTGATTTCGATTGTGCTGACAGAGTATTCTTGTGGACGAATAGCTTCGTGAGATCGAACTCAAAGTTCAACGGGAGATCAATGAAAAGCGACAGGAGCTTCTGGCGAAAGAGGAATCGCTCAGGTAAGTTTCTATGGGAATGTGATGGATGAAGTTTTGGCTGATATGGAGATGGACCAGAAATTTGGAAAGTCGTCTTGTTGCTCAAGGGTCTCAGGCAGAATTCCGGGACTGAAAGTAGGTGGATGGCTAGATATGTTGGGCATTGTGGTCGACAATTATACCCTCCGTTTGTGCATATCCTTGCTCACTTGTCCGTCCGCTCGTTTTCTGTCTACTCTGCGATTTTATATATACCGGATAATCCATTGCCATTCCTTACGCGAAATTTACCCAGCTTTCGAGGCTTCTTGACAGTTCGTAATCGTTTTTTTAGTGGAAATGCATTTAAAGAGACATTTGCTGCTTTACGTTTCCCGAATATTTTTTGTGTTGATCTATCATAGGATGTGTTTTGAGTTTGCCGGGGCTGAGACTGCGACTACCAAACTCGGATCATTGTTGAGCACGTTGGTGGATTGAACTTGTTGGTCTACACTCTTTTCGGTTTCAGTTTCGGTTCTTAGCTATAGGGAGATATCTTGAGAGAGAGAGATAGATATCTTGATAGTTGCGCTGACATCCTGTTTCAGGTTTATTTGGGTTGAAACTCATTTAATCAACTTGATCATAATTTTGAAGGAGGAACTTTGCTCATCGAGCTCCTCGTCATGGAACCCGAGTTCAATACTCGCCCACTCTCTATAATTCATCGTCCACGCCAATCCCAAGATCACGCGTCTCCTCCATCTTCACCCGTACCTCCTCCTTCATCATTCATCCTGACATCTCGTCGTCGCTCTTCTGCTGCCAACTTTCCTCCTGCAGGTCCACCACCGAGTCAACCAATTCCAAGTCTGCCAGATCCAATCTACCATCCTGATGATGTTGAACCTCCTTCCGATGAACTTTCATATACTACAAGACATAGGTCAAGCACCAGTGGTAGTGGTCCTAGTCTCACCAACAATGGTAGACCTTCAGCCTCTGCAAATCTCGCTGCAATAGCCGCGTTTCAAACAAGGCAAGCCTCTACTTCCGCGTCCAACAGTCCCCAGCCTTCTTCCAGCACCGTTGCACATGACTCCGGCCTTTTATCCGACCCCTCGCATAGATCTGGCCTTCAGCCCACGTCATCTTCACATCACCAGGATATCGTGCCTGACCGTCTCTTGTTGTCACCGACTCAGTCTCGCACACCGTCACAATCTCGGCCATCTTCAAGACGCGCCCTTACAAGAGCCTTGGAACTCGCCCGTGAAGCAGTTCAGTTAGACTCCACCAATGATGACCCCCATGCCGCTGTTATGGCATACGGCCGAAGTGTCGCTTTACTCAGTGAAGTTATGGAGCGAGTAAGAAGAGGCGAAGACAGCACAGAACGTCCAAGACGAAACGGCAGACGGAGAAGTGTAGTCGCACAGGAAGAAGAAGTCAGACGTCTTAAATCAATAGTAAGAAATTTACTCATTCTAGTCACGAATTCATCCTCATTTCATTTCATCCATCCCTTTCAGCATGACACTTATGCTGACCGCATGAACATTCTCAGCCTGATATACAGTATACCTCCCATACCGCACTCCCCATCATCTGTCTACGCCCCTTCCACATCCACAGAGTCCACACAACCTGGATCACCATCTTCCATTTCACCCACTTCCGACTCTCACAGAGTCTCTTCATATCCAACAGAACACACCCAAGACGAGCCTCAGCACGTCGGAGTACTCAACCATAACAATGATGACGATAATGATGGCCATGAAGGCATCGGAGCTGCCCTTCTCAATGATACTTATCTGTCCACCGAATTCGGTCAAAGAACCAATGGCATATCACCTCAACATCCTTATGCTGCACCTCTCTCACCTCTTTCATCATCTGGTCCACAGGATTCCAATAATTCTATTAACCGAACCGCAACCCTTCCGGCAAACCGTACCCAGTATACCCCATCAGTCACTGGTCGATCTCGAGCAACTTCCGTTTTTCCTCCCGCCGCCCCACCTCCAACCTTATCTCCTCTACCACCACCCCCAGACTCTGCTGTACCCGTCATGTCCGCAACTATGCCTTCGCAGACCAGCAGGTTCCTAGAAACTACCCGTCCACGTATCAATTCACTTGGACACAGACGAACGGGGTCAGGAACTAGATTGACTGCTGTTACTGAAGAGGGGGTCAGGATTGAGGGTCCTCCCACTCTGGAGAGCTTAGACGACCAAGACCTTACAGCTTCCTTGCCCCGACGGCCTGACACGCCACGCACTGCAATTCGGGACTCTCACCCACTTCCCCCACTTCCTTCACCCACACCCACATCATACTCTGTACGATCACCTGAATCACCAGCACAACAAGCTATTACTCCACGTGTCCGGGGAGAGTCGATGAGCGTGATCAGTGGTCAACAATTGATCAGCACATCCCTGGCGATGGGTACGATTCATCAGAGGCGCGCCAAGATGTCTGCTCCCCCTTCGACTGACAGCCCTTCGCCTACTGAATCACATTCACCGTCAACGTTCTCTCTTCCCGCCCCAAAGCCTACCGGGTCACCGGTACCCCCAAACGCAATACCTCTCGTGAGTGGACGAAATCGCGCGTCGTCACAGCCAGGACGACGGCCCTCTGTAGTCAATGGCCGTATCTCGCCGTTCGATGCTCAGCGACCCCCTTTACCACATACAGCAGGGCTCAACGGGCTAGTACCCCGTAAAATGTCCAATCCTTCCAAGTTGCAGCAGAACATCAGCATTAACATCCCACAACTGCCGCAATTGACTGTGCAGACGGAATTGTTATCACCGTCTCTGGCATTAGCGTTGGTACCACCACCAGCCCTGATATCCAATTTGCCGACTACGCCCACTTCTCCGCTTCCACCCGCTCCGCCCGCTGACTGTCAAAGGAAGCCGTATCATATGATGGCGCTCCTGGCGAATACTATGACCTCAAAGTCTGGTGGTTATATCACCAGACGATTGCATGTGCCGCAAGAGGTTTGGTCACAAGGAGGGGCCAAGCTTACAAACATACCAGAAAAAATCCGTGTTGTAGAAGTGCTCTGCTCAGCCCTGGAGGAGATGCAGCAATGCAGCGTGGAGTCCTTTGGCGCGAGCGTTGGCAGTGGACTAGCTTTGGGCATCGGCAGTGTAACTCGCAAGGAAGCTGAGACATGGGTAGGCAAGTTAGAGGAGTTCTCCTCGATATGCGATAGTGTCGTCGCGAACTTTGGAAAGAAGCTTAGTGTGGGCGAAGGTTTTGTAGTCAAGAAAAGTGGCGGGGTGAGTTTCTGGATGGTGCGTTTGTCCTCGTGGATTGACGCTTTACTTGTCTCCTCAGGTGACATCATGGGGAGGCAAGCTTACTCGACAGATTGACAAGTTTACCAATGGAAAAAAGTTCGTCTCTCACTTTTATTGCATCCTTGCCTCGTATTGACGTGTGAAATAGCCTTGATTCGCCTGCTGCCTATGTGTCTGGATTAAATAGGCTGTTTACGATAGCCCAGCTCATCGACGAGCATACAAAGGCGCTGTTGTCGCAGCCCGTCGCAGCCACATATGCAGCGTTTCCTCTAGATCTCCGGGTTGCTGCAGAAGTCAAGCTAAAACGCGCCTCTGAGTTCTTTGCGAGCGTCGTGCTGACATTCGTCATCCGCGACCTGGCGCAGCTTCTCGACAAGTATGCCAAGAAGTGTGAAAAGTGGCTGGCAGAATAGTGAGCCAAACTCCCGTTCCCTCGGTCTGCGAAGCTGTAATACTGTTACGAAGCAGTATGTATTTATTTCGGGACTAGATGGTTTTACCAGAATATGTTTTATCTGACATTTTTAGTGTTTATTCTACTTTTTCGTTCATTTTTGCGTGTCTTTCTGCGCCCTTTGTCTTCGTTCGGTGCACCTCTCACGTCCGCTCCCTTGCATACTATACATTACACACTTTGGAATTCTGTGCATATTGAATGTAAGCTACCAATCAATTGCTCAAACCGCCGGATATTTCGATATCCAGATGTACAGCATACAGTCAGGCATACAACAAACTAGAAAAACAACAAGGAGGTGGACAGTGTATAGTACATGGTGTAGTCTAACAATTCTGAGTTTTCAGAATACAGAGGGAACCCGCCCTGCATGAGCCTCGAAGTGCGATGACCGTACGGTCATTGGAGTTCCATATGTAGCCTCTTCTCCTTCTGGAGTTGGTGGCCTGCCTCTTAGGCGAGAAATGACCTGCATTCTCTTGACTACGGCCCATCTCAGGGAACGTCATGGAGGTGAAAAGGTAATTGACGCACTATAGTCTGTTCGAACGTGACTATCGTGGCATTCCTCATCCGAGTCAACGAGAGGATCGGTGGTCATGACAGTATGCCAGGCATCTGATGTTCAACAAACGAATGTATAAGCTACGTCGCATAGGAACCTGAAGAGTAGCTCACGCTGCAGCATGTTGCGCTCAGGGCCTTGCATACTCGATCTCCGGGATCGCGGTGGTGGTCGTGGGGTTATGTTTGGTACGCTGGGTTTTCGTGCCGAGCGTATGTCGGTGGGCATGCGACGATATGGGGGATCTGACGGGGAGTGTGGACGGCGGTGGCGCTGACGCTCGAGGATATGAGGAGGGTACTGCTACGACTGGAATGTGGTACATATGAGCAACGGACTCGGGCAAGATAGCATTCTCACATACGTTCAGACCGTCGCTCTTCTCTGCTGGCGTGTACATCTAACAGGTCTCTCGGTGGAGGATTAGCAGCTTTTCTTTTCCGAGAGGTGCTCGTAGTCGGTTGTGGACCTGGTAAACTTGGAGTGTCGTCTTCGGCTTTGATTGTAGCCCTGCTCCTCCTTTTTGCTGGGGCTTTTTTTTCAGACATGGCCGGACTCTGGGCGTCTGAGAGACTCAGACTTGTGGTGAAGAGTCGGACGGGATGAGGCTGAACTGTTATGGCGAGCGTCTTCGCACTGGGATTTGGTTCTCAACTTGAATCGGCTGGCTTATGCGGCAATTCGCCATGCAGCCGCCTATCGCCCAGTTGGCCCTGGAACAACTTGAGGCTAATACGAATCCCGGGCACGTTCCGTCGGCCCCGCTCACATTGGATTTTTACTTGCGCTGCTATGCTATGGCGTCGGTCAGTTTCAGTGACTGCCCGAAGCTGGTGTCAGTGTTGTTTTTCTCAGCATTTTCATCATCAGCCGTGCACTGCTGTGCGGCAGAAAACAGGTATGTCCATATGTTATTTTTGGGCTGGGCCACTCACACAGGCATGCGGTGCCATCTCAGCAAGCGCCTATCTCTAGTTCAGCCATGCGAACTCCAGGGTCATCATGTCGCGGATGTAACCTGTCAAGAAGTCGTACGAGTCACTCAAGTTGCAAAACACAACGACTCTCGGAGGGTTGCGCATCATAGCGGTTTGACATATACTTAATTCTGGAAGATAGTGTTGCAACGCTTCACTCCACGTTCTTGTTCATGATGTTCTCTTGGCTGTGGCGCCGGCCTCAAATGATTCGTCAACTCTGCTGTCTTGGTCTCCCAGGGAAGCTGTGCATCCCACAAATATGCGAACGTCTGCCATGCTATAATGAGGCCGGGTCTTTTGATTCTCTGCATCGATTGCGGGGGGAGCCCTGCCTGCTTCTTCTTTTTTTCTTTTTATTTTATTTTTTTCGTTCTTGAGCTCTGGAGCTCGGCGCCGGGGAGATGCTGCGCACCTTCACTCGCCTTCACAACTTCAATTTCGTACTTTATACTTTATACTTCATTTCCTTGTTTAATATTCTTTCATGGTCCTTGCACGGTGTCCAAGCTGCTCCCGTGCGTGTTTCAGCTAGCCCAGAAGAACGGGAAATTGGCGTATCTTCAAAGGCGCGTGGACTTAGCCCAGCTACCGTCGCTGGGCAAAATTATGGTACGCATCCTTCGAAAGATCAACGAATAAAGACAATTTTACTCTATCTGTAGCTTTCAAACAATATAACAACTTGCACCATGTTGCTAGAGACTCAGGACTTGATGACGATGTCGTCTCAGCCTGTAAGTGCATATTATCCATCCGTATGTTCTCCTGACCCTGTGATAATTTCAACAGCAACAATGTCGGCGATGCCATTCACGAGCACTGGAACTACGGCAGCTTCATCTAGTTCATTGCCATTGACATTGGATTCGAGCACCATCTTGACACAGATGTCTTCTGCGTCTTCCGTGAGCACGCCCTGGACAAGCTCAAGCACTACTTCGTCATGTACGTCAGTGGTGTCGTCAAGCTCATCTCAGTTGGAGGCTGGGGGGTCTTCTGTAGGGGGAACTGATAGCCCTACATCATCACCTATTCCCATGGGGACGTCTCCAGTGACGCCCCCTGCATCATCGGTCACTGCCCCATCTTTCCCCCCTACTGTTCCGCCATCAGTGACAACGGCAGAAACCGAATGTCCTCTATCCTCTCCTGTGCTTGGAAGGCCGTCTCCGTCAACGCTTTCTGCTTCACAAGAAATATCTTCAGCTACTACTCTATCTTTGGCCTCTAGTGTCCGACCGTCGGTGACCACAGTGGTCAGTGATTGTCCTTCATCCTTACCTATACCTGTAGGGCCTTCTCCTGTGACGCCCCCTGCATCGTCAGACACACCGCCACCTGCTGCTCCATCTTTACCCCCTGTTGTTCCGCCATCAGTGGCACCACTGGTAACTAGCCCTCCTCCGATTTTGCCCACAACCGAAGGACCGCCTCCAGTGATGTCCCCTGCATTTTCGGAAACACCTATGGTTACTTTCCTCCCTCCCATAGTTATTTCTCTCATACCTCCTGTTCCTCCTGTTGTCACTTCCCTCCCACCTCCTGTTGTCACTCCCTCCCCATCTCCTGTCGTTCCAGCAGCTTCATCAATGACGACAATCTCACAAAGTGCTACTAGCCCGGCTACCACGACGTCACCGGCAGGTCGTCCCACAACCACTGTGACTGTGTCGGTCACACCTGTTACGCCAGAACCATCCCCCACAACCACGTTTACCTCGTCAACGCCTAACGCGCAGTCAAATTCAAGTTCGCAAAAGGCATCGTCGTCACCAACATCATCGCCTTCGGCACAAGGTGACGCTACGTCATCGCCACAACTTGCAGGATCTTTGATTGCTATCATCACAGTATTTTCATTTCTTGGCACATTTTCGTTGATCCTTGGAGTCATTGTCTTCTTTCGCGCCAGACGTCGTCGTATCATTCGGATGCAACTCCTTGAAGAAGAGCGCCCACCCTCGCTACCGAACTTGTCTTCGAGGTTTTCTGTCTCAACCACAGGATCAACGGAGTAATCTAGGCGTTTCACGCCTTTCGCCTTTTAATTCGAGACCACTTGCGGCAAGGAGTCCACTTTCTCGTCCCGCCAATCCGATTGATGGTGTGACGCCAGCAAAGGTGTACTTCCAGAGTCTTCCTGATGACAGCCTCGAGACAAGAATGAGGCCTCTGAATTGGTTGTAACACGAGGGAAGAGATTTCGCAACGATTCCTTACTTATCGAGAGACAATACTTTTTTACATTCCTTGTTGGCGTCTACAACACGTATTAATATAATAATGACGTTTAAACAACAAATTATGCCGAAGGTATCAAGTGCAAGGAAGGTGAAGTACAGTGAGATCCTTCCGATGAGCGAACATGGGTATGTACAGGAAACGGGAATGAATATCGCAAGGGGAATCATTGGTTATGAAAGCGTGTACTAGTGTAGATGTAAGCGGAAAGAAGAAAATGTTGCGTGAAAAGTTGTCCCTCCAAAGCAAGTAAAAGCAAAGCAAGATGCAAGGCGAAAAAGGACATCACCAGAACTCCCTGACTCGCTCTAAAACCTCCACAACGACCGAGCTCTTATACATGAGAGCATGGTCAGCACCTTTTACGACTTTGACGTGACATCGATCTTCGCCCATCGCCTTTTCCATCCACCTTACGGCATTTTCAGCAATCTTCTCATCCCTATCTCCGTACCAAACCTGGACCTTGTGAGGGTAGTCGCTGTATGAGAAGCCCCAAGGACGATTATCGTGATTGAGGATCTGTAGAAGGTCGCTGTGCGTCCCCCTCGATGCTTCCGCGTGAGACGCCGCAATGAGAGCATTGGCGAGAGCAGTTTGATACGCAGTTGATGCAGTTTGGACACTCACGTGTGGAGAGGATAAAGTGCTCGCAGGGGGGGATGATGGAACGCTCGGCGGGCTTGTTCTCGATACACTTGTACTGGACGCACTGAAGGATATAGAGCGCTGGCCGGTTTGTCGAGGAAGGAGCTTAAGCGAGGGTTTATCAGAGGGCAATTCGGCGGGTTTGGTTGGTTTAATATGGGGTGGAGGAGTTGGTATAGGACTAGGTGAAGACCGAACCTTCGTGGCATCCCAGTCGATTTCACCAAGACCTAAGCCCGTGTCTACCGACAATGGTTGAGGAAGCTGCGGACTTGAGATATCGGTCCTCTTGAGTGTGTTGGGGGCGGAAGATGATTTGCCCTTGAGGGAGCCCATGGATCTCAAAGTCTTGAGCGTTTTTCCGACGGTTGAGGTGGGAGGAGACTCAATAGCAGGCGAAGGAGGCTGGGAAATTGCTTTGGACGCTTTAAGTCTGCCTAAAATTCCTCGAGAAGGTTTCTCTCTGCTCTGTTGTGTCATTGAACGTGCACCAAGCGTGCTTTGGCTCCCAAAACGGCCATCGAAATCCCGTAGATCGTCGTAATCACTGGACAGAACAGAACCTAAGCTCATCCGTCTCTTGGTGTTATCTGAAGGGTAAATAGTGTTTCTGCCGGGACTCTGAGGTCGTGAGGAAGGTTCGACTCCATTGCCAGACGTCGGCTTTCCATTCTGAAATCTGGGGGACAGCGGTGCGGTGTAACCAATTCCCCGGTAAGCGACAGTTGGTGGCTTTCCTATCATCCATGCCTGGATCTTCCACTCCGCTGCCTGTGCGGTCTTCAGAATGCCATTCGGGACGTACTTGAGCCACCGGTATCCTCCTGTACACCAGATGAGCGAAAGAAGCACAATCACAGGTCCCTTCAGCACTCACCGCTTTCAGAGCCGCCTATCCATGGTGCCAACAGACAAAGGTCACCCCGAATACGATTAGGAACACGGTTCGCAAACGCCAAAGCGTAAGGTGCGCCGGCTGAGTGTGCAACGATGCTGCATTCATTTATTTTTAGTTGGTCCAGAACCTCCTCAACAGCTGCCGCCCATTCCATGATGCCTCTAGCAGATTTGGAATGCGGAGTCTCAGTACGGCCTAGACCCCATCTGTACAAACGTCAGTGAAGCCATTATCGGTCAACAGGTAGAAACTTACCTATCTATAGCGATCAGACGAAGGCCAAGACAGTCTGCCATTTCATCGTACAAACCCATGACATGTCTGACACAGCCCAGACCAAGAAATACGACCAGAGGAAAGCCATTTGGATCACCCATATCCGCGAGGCTAACGGTCAGAGGGTGATCAAGTGATGCATGAGGAAATCGCGTGAGTTTCAACAAAGTCGTCAATCTAGCAGAGCGAAGATATTCTGCTATGGCTTGGGGCACGGACGTAGGAGAAGTAGAAATGGGAATAAGGTCCAATGAGTATTGCGAATCCCGTGCTGATGCAGTTGATGAATGAGAACAAATGTCTGAGGGTGCCCCGTGAAGTCGTACACTTGAGCTGTCTGACATGTTGGAAGGCACGGCGGTGAGTGGGGGAGCACGGGGTGACGCAAGTGGAGGCACGACATGTGATTTCCTCTGGTTATGGTACGTGCGGCGGACTTCATCTGCAATACTGTCAAGAGAGGTCCTGCTCAACGGTTCAGCTTCTGTATCAGGCGTGAGCAGTTCAGCCTCAGATTCCTCGTTCTCAACACCATTGTTATGGCCATCAACGTGGATATTACTGGACCCATGTTTTGGAGGCTCTCTAGAGCGGCTCTGAGCAGAAGCTGGAGCGTGATTCCGAATGATTTCCGAAATGGAAGGAACGACAGTTCTTGGACGCTCTGGTGGCTGCACAAGAGCGACTGGAAGGTCATCAACAGAGTCATTAACTGGTGCCGAAGAGGTGACCTCATACAATCCCGAGTCAACTGTGATTGTGGATGAGGAACCTTTTCGTGCAGAACCAGGTCGCAGATGAGCGCGGCGAGTACGACGAGTGGGAGGCGATGGCCTTGGTTCATCTTCATCTTCGTCTGAAGGCATGATTTTATCTTGTCGTCGACTTTTCCCTTTGCCAAGAACTACACCGGGTGGAGGAGTGGGTAGAGGTGGTTGGTATAAAGGGTGATACCTTGCATTATTACCAAACCTTGAGCGACTAGAGGAGCTTTTCCCAAAGAAGTCTTCCATTGTAAAGCCATTCATCCCGTCAACCAGCGCGTCCATGGCCTCCACCCCGGCAACCGGAGCTGAAACGACTACCGGGAAATGGCTGAGGGAATAGTTCCCGATGGAAGATGAGTCTAACGGTGTTTGCGGGGGAGATTCCACGAAACTAGAAGTTTCAACGGAGAGCCGGAGTGATGGAACGTGGGTCTCTTTCCACCTTGACTTGGTGGATGATGGACCTGTGCGTGTTCGATGACGCGGGATCCTCGGAGTGATATCACCTCCCGACAAGAAGTCGGGGACCTCAAGAGCAAGATCCACAGTTGGAAATGCGTATGAAAGTTGGGTCGCTTTCTCTTTCTCTTTGCCTTTGTCTTGATCAAACTTCCCGGAATGCTTCCGCGGAAGATCGTGAGCATGAAAAGTACGACCAGGACTCAGTTGGGACCTCGAATGAATATCGAAACAGTCGGGCGAGACGCTAAAGGGAGCAGGGGAAGGGTGATTAGCGTCTGAAGAAATGGTGGGCCTGTGGACGTCACGTCTGGACGACAAGAGGGGATTGGATTTCCGGAGAGGACGGTCATTTCCCATACTAGTGTTTGAGTTCGACATCACGTAGGCAAAAAAAAAGTGATGCAAGCCTAATGCCTTGATGAATTTTACGCAAGTAGTACTCGAGGCTCCCGCGCCGTCACGGGTAACGTTCTAAAATGCTTCAAAGACCTGTTTTGTAGTGTCCAATGCTTTTATTGACCCAGCGTACCAGAATGTGCCATAAGCTCACCTCCTCCACCGACACGCTTAATCTCGTTACCGCTAACGTTGTCGGCTGTAATGGTATCAACCACTGTGGCGCCAGTTCAACGCAGCAGAATAAGGATCCTTCACTGAGCGTCTGATGTCGCGTCAGTTTCTTTCCAAACCAGAACCCTGGCACATACAACACAGAGACGGGGAATGTCTAGTACTCGGTTGAGTGCCTATTTTCGTTGCTGGCCAACAACACTGCCACTCAGTACTCAGCACTCGGTTTCGGGTTGCTTTATTATCGTGGGGCAATGACTCGGACTATGATAATATGTAATTTCAATATTTGACTTTACATAACATTGTCACCCACAAACGTCGACATGTTTCTTGCTTTGAACTCCTTCTGCGGCATGAGTCTGCTAACATGTGACAGTGGTTATGATATGGTTCTCACTGCTCAGCAACGTCGTCGCGTCTTTTACAACGTGACAAAGGCGAGCTCGCATCCAAAGTGCCCTCTGCTGCCCTTACTTGGGATGAGAATCATCAAACACGATACAAGATGTATTACATAGGTAGAACTCCCTTCGCATCGGTTTTTCAGAATTGACACTGACATATTTTCGGTGTTCACCGTGACTTGCTGGAGCTTGGAGTGCTTTTTATCTATGTCATAATAGGCATGACAGGCTGCCGTGACATAGTGCCTGCTTGGCAACGCCGTGGCCCTAACACCGCAAACATGTTTACTGATCGAGTCCGATTGAACAGTTGGACGTTCGAATGTGCACACTATCATATGCATGGGTAAGCTCGTCAGTGTTTTGCGTTCCAAGCGCCCATAATCAAGAATTACCGGCTGTATCATTTTTAGCCCGTAATTTTATTCTGAGCGCCGTGAGGGTTAACCGGAATCCACATGGACTTTTCAGGGTGCCGAACTAACGCTGTGACAGACCCTAGCAGGCGTGTAGCACCTATTCTTGTAAAGTGTGCTATCAGTGGTGACTGCAACCGTTGGTGGCACAACGGCCTGTCAGGATAGGTTTGTTCTTTGTGCGGTGCCTGAGAGCTCAGTGACACGATATCTACTAATCGAGTGGATAGGCCACCAGCCCGAGTCCTTATCATACCGACTTCACATTACTTATAGAACGTGAGTGCTCTCGTAAAGCTGACCTTATTGCCCTCATTGAATGGCGTCCCACCCGGCGTATGAAGTGCATGGACAACCCTATGTGGACGAAAAAGCGTCGGTGACCGCCGAAAAGCAAGATTCGGGAGGTTCTAGAGATGTTTTCGCTGAAGATAACGTCCACCAGATTCAGTACAAGACACTCAGCTGGCAGGTGCGTCTATGCGAGATTGCACGCAGTAAAATCTTGATCGACGTAGGCTGTCAGCCTCCTCATGATAGCCGAAATCGTCAGCAATGGTATCCTGTCTCTCCCAAGCGCATTGGCAGTCGTTGGTGAGCTCGCTGTCTTGTGAATACCATGAGGGGCAGCGTTTTTATAAATCTTCAGGTATCGTGCCTGCTGTTATTCTAATCGTGTTTCTCGGTATTTTTGGCCTGTTCACTGCCAAGTTGCTCATCGACTTCAAGCTGAATCATCCTAACGTGCATACCATGGGTAATAAATTTTGTCGTCAATGGTTTTCAAACACCTGAGATGTTCTAGGTGACGCTGGATACATTATGTTCGGACCTGTAGCTCGGGAGGTGCTTGCATTTGGAACTGTCGCTTTCGCTGTGTTTGGTTCTGTGCGTTCATTGAGTCGACTCGAATACGTTGCGACTGAATTATGCCAAACAGGGCTCTGAACTACTTTCCAGCCAGCAGGCACTGTCAACACTTTCAAATCAGGGCATGTGTAGCATGTATCTGGTTATTATCGCTGGCGCCGTTGCTTTCTTGATCTCACTGCCGCGGACACTGGATCGCTTGGCATGGATGGGTCTTCTTAGTGCAATAGTCATTACCCTAGCTGGTTTCATCGCAATGATTGGAGCAGGGGCGAACCCAGTTCCTGGACGGTCTCTGACAGTAACTGCCTCCAGTAACTTTTTCGATGCTTTCTTGGCTGTCACAGATCCTGTGGGTACCTTGTGTCTTCGAGTAACTTAGCGTTGCTTATCTGTTCAGTAGGTTTTTGCATATGCAGGTATGGAATTTTGTGATGTTAATCGACATTCCTAAATATTTTACTAGGACACTTCATGTATGACTTTGTGCATGTTATTTCTGCTGAAACTGACCTCTGATAGGTTCTTTATTCTAATATCCGAGATGCGTAGACCCGAGGACGCTATGAAGGTCAGAATGGTGCTGTACCTGATGTTGTGACTGAAGGCCATTTCCAGGCAGCGTGGTGTCTGCAGGGCTTCGCTACAATATTTTATGCTGTTTTCAGCATAGTTATGTATGTCTACATTGGAAATACGGTGCAGTCTCCGGCCCTCTTTTCTCTTCCTCCGGCATGGGCAAAGGCAACGTTTGGCATTGCTCTCGCAAATTTCCTGTTGTCAGTGATGCCTTGCTGTTTGACCTAGTCCTCACTAAATCTTTTTCGGGAAGCTCTTCCGGGCTATACACTCATACAGCTGCAAAGCTGGTGTTTGTTCGCATATTTCGTCATTCAGAGCACGTCTACTCGCATACCTTACTCGGATGGACGGTCTGGACTCTGTTGTGTTTTTCAGGCGTAGCTATCGCCGTAATCCTTGCCGTCGCAGTTCCGATATTCTCCTACCTAATCGGCATTGCGGCGGCCCTCTTTGCCGCATGGTACACGTACGGTTTGGCCGGATTGTTCTGGTTGCATGACGTATACCATCTTAAGGGTGGCGTGGACGGACTCAAACGACGACCGATAGGGACTACTATTGCAGTGTTGACTATCATTTCCGGCGCTTTCATCTGTGTCGCTGGGACTTATGTGTCGATAAAGGTCAGTGATCATGTCTTCGTATCTGACACTCGTCTCACTGTCAGTTTCCAATGATAGCTCATCGTCGAAGCATATGCCAATGGTCAAGCTGGGAGACCTTTCGTTTGCTAGGGGGGATTCCGTTGTTGATGTATCAGTCCTTATAGCCAACTTACAGCACAACAAAAGTTGGATACATCGATATTGTCATTCATAGTTATTGGTGAGGCTGCGTGAGGCGACTTACAGTGTGGTAGACTCGGAAGTTTTGGTGGAGTCCAACCAGAATCATCTGTACTAGTAGGACCGAAACTCGAGTTACAGAAAATTCTGTACAATGGATTGGATGTATCAGTATGGCATTATAGGATACAGCTTGCATGAAGATCCTCTACGGTAGTCAATGACGAACAAATGGCATTGATTGGTAAGAGAGCCAGATACAAACCCAGTGCTCCAGACGGTTGGATAAAGGTGAATTGTGCACATTGTAAACTTAGGCCTACCCTTTTAAGATCTATGCTTAAAACTGTCTCTTCGCAACCTTTATCAATATGTAGCTCGTAGCGGCGCGTACGCGCCAGTTCCCGGCTCCACCGGTGCGGCTTCAAGTTATTCCGATTACTGTCTTTCTTCAAGCTTCTGCCCCAGTCATCTCGAATTGGTGTTGACCTTTAACTTGTAAACATACTCATATCCTGTTGTATCACAATCTTCCTTCTAACCAATATTTCAGTGACACCGATTATCAGGCGTCTTGATACCACATAGGCAGCAAGACGTGCGGCAATCGCTATATCGCTGTTCAAGCTTAAGTGGCAACCATATCGATTTCCAGGCGTTTTTACTGTACCACACAGATACGAACATGCTTTGCAATCATGGTACCAGTCCTGCTTTCATATCTAACCTCCCCGCAGTGCGAGAATGCAAACCCGCATCTTTATGAAATGGTCGACAATCGTGTCACGAAAGCGCGATTTGACATGTGGGCGAACGGAGGCATCTGGAATCATAAATACACACTGAGATAGAGCAGAGCGCGAGTGTCTAGGTGACATCGGATGATTTCTGCACTGGTGTAAAACCAGGGGGGATAATATTTCAACGCCTGCCTAGAAATGAGATTGAGAAGAACAAAGGTTGACGGATAATGTAACAGTGGCAATAGTTAGTGCTCTCGAAGGCAGCCATCGACATCGAGACAGATGCGCCAGCCTGGGTGATGATGAAAGTTAGACCATCAAATGAAATACAACCCGTGAACAGGAGCGTACACGACAAGCAAGTACAGTGGTGAGAAACGAGGCATTTTCGTGAACAGCAGAGGATGGGGAAACACGCTCATCCAGGACACGAGGGACGCGGGAAACTTGAGTCAAAGGTGATGAAGGTGAAGGATGCCTGCGGCTGCCTTCCGGTGCCGCGCGCTGTTGGCTGATGCAAGGGCCTGAGCGGGACTTGCTGGCGTCCCGCGCTGGTGCTGTGTGTTGCTGGTTGCCGGTGGTGAAAGAGCCTGAGTAGGACTTGGTGCCAAACATAGTACTACGCATGCGACTCGAATGAAGAAGAGCGCTCACATTGGCAGTCTGTGCCGCTGTGCGGTGATTGTACTGCTGGCTGTGGAAGAGCCTGAGCGTGACTTGGATGCAAGATATAAGCAAGCGACTCGAACAAAGAACGTGATCACTCACCTTGGCAGTTTGTGCCACTGTGCGGTTGCTGGAGATATTCTTTGAATTTTCAAGAAATGTGTCAGTAATAGATCAGTCAGTAAGTCACAGTGCGCACAGTCGTGTTCGGCCATTGAATACACTGAGTAGGTCATGCCCATTTTTTGGTGATCCGTTGAAATTGTTGCGTCACAGAACAACCAGCTATAAATCTATTGTTTTAATATCAGAACACAGTGCAATAGTCTACTCATCCTCTGTACCATCGAGATCCAAGAACACAATGTCAGCATCACAGGCTCGAGTAGTGCTGCTGCGGTCCGGTTCAGTCCGGTTTAGAGTGTGTTGCACAACATCGCGAATTGGACACGCAGTGCAGACACCGGTGCGAATAGCAGGAATCAACGTCAGCCGGACCCCCATCAGAATTGTGGCAAATCAGTAGTGAACATAGACGAGGACCTACACAAGTCCGAAACAGGTGAACTTGCGCTATAGTGGCAAGGACGAACCCAATCTGGGGTTGAACACGAAAAAGCGAGCGCCGACGCAGGTCACTAGGAGTCAAGATTGTGGCGCATCGATGGTGAACATGGATATGCAATACAAAAGCACCTACACAAGTCCGAGATAAAGGAAGCAGGCTCGCGCTAGTGTGGCGGGGACAACCCAATCATGCTCTGCTACCAGATCAGCGCGTCGAATTTGGACACCAATAACCAAATAAAGTGCGCTCCAGAGTCACGTCAGACCCGCGACGGTGGGAAACCTGAGATGGCAATAACGATGTCAAGCAGTCAGTAGGAAGGGACCCACACAAGCTTGAAACAAGTAAAGCGGCCCACCAGTAGCAAATAGGGATCAGTTATCTGCAGTGCGAAAGTTCGAACTTCGCAGATGTCGGTCAGGGTTGCAATAGATTGCGCATAAGGAATTCCAAAGCTGAAAAGCCCTTTTTACAGCAAAAGCTGTACATACTCGCCGGGGTGGATGTGTCGATGGTTGTTGAAAGTTTAACTCCACTTCCCGTTGGCAAGTAGTAGTGATTAATGAGCGCTGGTGATCGTCTCATCAAACAGAAAGAGGTTCTTAGCTTACTACTATACGCTTCGTCACGGTGTTAGCTGACAAACGTATAAAGACAAGCTGACGTTCAGGTTGTGCCTGAAACTGTCTGCCTGCGGTTGGCGATGTTTGTATGGCAGTAGTTGAGTTTGATAACCCTGATGTGAGTCCATGTGCATTGCACATATTGCTTCGTCCCTAGACTCGGATGCGCTCCAAATACGCTGAACCGAACTTGTTCTGAGACTCTGGGATAAATATTCATACCAGTGACATCACAACTGTGGTGTAATGATAGGCGGCTACGCCCAAACCCAAGCCAATCGACGTTGAGGAGATGCAGGTTCGAGGTTGAGCTTGAAGAAGGTTTGATGTATAATCATTTGTTTTCCTGACTCGGAAATCCAGTAGGTACCTGTGCCAGTGAGCGTCAGCAATAACGTTGGACAACAAACTTCTGAAGGGTCGAGGTCACCATGATTAGTATCATGTGGAAACATCGGATTTTCTCCGGATCGATCGTTGCTTCGGATACTGGTATACGTGTGTGCGATGCATAGTAATTGAAACACGCATGACATGGTACATAGCCTATATAAATGAGCGCCACGGCAGCTTTGAAAGCATGCCTGGAGAGTTAACTGTTCCCGACTGCGACCACCCACACCTCCTTTCTCTTCCGCTATGACCGTCGCTGCTAGACAGCATGAGCTCCCCATATTTGCACGTCCTCCAAGGACGTGGACTCAGGCATTCAATGGCGTCTTCTTCTTGACGGTGTTTATCCCAGGATGCCTCATGGTCCACGGGTTCCAACTTTTGTTTCTACTACCCTTGAAGCTTTTCTATTCAAGTCCACGGGCCTGGAAGTTATACGACGGGGGTATACGGTATACGAAGGGCGCATTTGCAACGCTTATGAGTGAGTAACCATGCATGATGCCGGCGATACAATATGACGGCACGTCCTGCCAGATTTGATGAACCAATGGTTCGCCCCGACACGCCTTTCCATTACATTCGAGCGGGCAGGACCTGGGAAATTCTCAGAGGAGGAGATTAGACATATCGTCGAACGCGATGCGTCTGGCAGAGTGGTGGCTTTACGTCTACCCTCTAAAACGGTCATTATCGCGAACCACCAGGTGTGTCATCACCCTGATCATGTAGCGTACGCTGATTCGCTTTCAGGTCTACTCTGACTGGTGGTATGTCTGGTGCCTCACCTACTTTATGGGATCACACAAGGATGTCTTCATTGTACTGAAGAACAGCCTGAAATGGGTTCCTCTCATTGGTCCAGTACGCGGCATCCGTGAATTTGGAGCTCTTTTGCTAAATAACGACGAAGGCAATGCAAATATTTAGATTTATCTTTCTAGCGCGTTCATGGGCCTCTGATAAAATACAATTGTCATCGAAACTCGCAAAACTCGGCCGACAAGCAGAACAAGAAGACAAGCCATTCACATTTATCCTATTTCCAGAGGGCACCCTTGTGAGTAAAGACACACGCCCTATCAGCAGGAAATACGCGGACAAGCTTGGTATTGTGCGTTTCTACTACCATTCTGAGTGAAGTCGATGATGACCATGTTTTCTCTAGCCTGATCCACTGAACATCTTGTTGCCTCGGTCGACGGGACTTCATTATAGTCTTCGCACACTTGCGCCGCGCCTGCCATCTTTGAAATTGATCGATATTACGATGATATATCCAGGTACGTTCCTGGATGCTTCAATATTCCGCTAACCATCGTTACTGCTGCTAGGTGTTCCGCCAAAGGGATATGGACAATCTTTCTACACACTCCGCTCGATATTTTGCGACCGCGTACCTCCGCCTGTAGTGCACATGCATCTAAGAATATTTGACGTCGCAAAGGATGTTCCCATAGGAGACATCTCAGGGACGAATCCCGCTGTGATTCCTAACGGATCTAATCATGAGCCTGTTGAAGTAGACTTCCCAGATCAGGAGAAGACGGTCTTTGATGAATGGCTTAGAAGGTTGTGGATGGACAAGGATGAATTTATCACGACATTCCATCGCTCAGATTGCTTCCCCTCTGGTCATCCCGGTGCTGTCGAAATCCCACTGGAACTAGGGAGTAAACGGGAGATACCATGTGCTTTCTGTTTCATTGCTCCAGTAGCAGTATACGTATTATGGTCGAGGTTGGTACAGGCTCTTTTTTGATGGTTTGTGTTCTATGTTGTAATTCTAGATGTCCTTCGGAGTCTTTCATGTAATAACATATTCTCGGCTGGATGAGGTGAGATGATGTAAACAATTAAGCGGACGAGGTTGAGCGGTAAGTATGGTACTATACAAGTTGCAGTTCATGATTGCTGCGAGCGTTGTCCCTCTATAGTCTTGATGATGAATAAACTAGTATCCATGAAGCGGTCCACACAATTCAAGAGACAACTCTCCTCTCCACGGGCGAAGCGAGACCCTGGAGTGCTGGTGACACATCTACATCAAATAATTTTTCAAATGAAGGATTACGAATGTCAAGACGGAGGCTCACTTGTCCCAACACATGCTTGTGAGGTTATGCACGGTGGAGTTGATGCGAGCTTGGGCTTGTTCTCGTTCTAAGAACGTAGCAAGCTCTTTCTATTATGACTGTCTGAGAATCAATGAGAGCTGTTAATATGGCCACGTACTTGCGTAGCTTCGTCGAACTTGACGTTGTCCATGGTTGGTTAGATCTATAACTAGTCTGTGAAATGAATTTACTACAAGAAAAATCAAGATTAAATTTGGAATTTATTTCCCACATTTGATTCCGCGAAGGTTGTTCGATCGGCAAATTCAATGTTCTGTTGGAACCGTCCTAGCTGAACCGTTGGCAAGAGGACATCTATAAGTTGGGTTCATTCGTCGCAACCGTCCAGGCCAACGAATTCATTGTTGCGATGGTTTGATTTTCTGGCGCCTGATCTGCCAGGCCAGGCGCCCATCAACATAGCTTGGTCCCGTGGCACTACACGTGAGATTCTGTCAATTAAGCATACCTGCAATACAAATGGTCATCATCAATAGGAAAGATTACTGCCTCATGTTTCCTTGCATAAGTACCCCATCCATCCTCTGCAGCTACCGCATCCTTCAATGGCTTCAACTTCTGACTACCATCTCCAGCCTGCTAACTGGTCAATCGAACCTGCTCCTCTGTATGTTTCCATCAACTCATCCATCCACTGACGTAGCTCATGGTTCAAAACGTTCTTGATGTCCTCAGCGTGGGATACCTAAGTCGTAAAGCTCTCCCCATAAAGCGCAACGACGCAGAACCTCTCACACGAGAGGATGTTCAGTTCGATCTCCTTTGCCATATATTCAATGACAGGCAGAAAGTTTTTACCCCCCAAGCCCCCAGCGAGGACTCCAAGGTCCACTTCTGCGATCTCTATGTCAATGCATTGTATATGTCACACAAGTGCTCCAAAGTCCTCAAAGACAAGATGGTTGAAACACCTGCTTTTGCAGTCGAGCTTGCCAAAATTTCTCTCTTGACAAATGTGGGGCGCATCAATACCACCATGGCATGTAAGTCTTCATCACGCCTCGTTCCTTGAACGTGTTCATAATGAAGGTAGTCTTTCCAGAAATGAAGACCGCTTTACGGACTTATCATCCGGTACCCTCCCTTCAAAAGACTGATGGTAATGCTCAGGACGCCCCGCGGATCAAGAACTGTCTCAAGGCTGCTTTGCTCCCATCTGAGCTTAAGAACATGCCTCCGTCTACTCCGGAAGAAATCTTGCAGAAGAGCGTACGCGAATTCATCACCATGGTTCCTCATGCAGCAGCTCATCTCCATACCGCCAGAGGGCTCGTCAACTTCCATCTACAAGTGTTGTGAATCTAATATTCGTTCTCGCAAACCATGCAGCCGTAAGGTTTCTGTTTAAGTTTAGTCTCCTCACATTGACTGCTCGTCAGCCGCTTGCAAGCACTCATTTCGATCCGCCCGTGAACTTCTTGGATCTTTTTTTGCCCATCAATATAGCCTCAGCTGACCGCGCGCGCGCGTTTCTATGGCTCATATTTCATTATTTGGAGGGCCCTGATCAACCAAATCCATATGACGACGACTACTCCCGCCAAAATCTCGGCAAGGTTCCTTGGCTGCACCGTCTCACAGAAGAAGAAATGGCACAGGAAAATGTAGACACACCCGATGAAATCGAATGGGGCAAGGCGATGTCAGCACAAAGAAACCTCTTTCTACAACGACTCGTCCACTCAATCGAAAAAGAGAAGAAGGTTAAGGCCGCTGTGTCTGCGTCTAAATGTACGAGTATTTGTCAATCACTGATTTAGTTATCTATTAACTATTTGTTCAGTGACTGAGCCCACTTTTGGTCGTTCAAGACCTTCCAGGCCACAGCAAGAAGGTATCAGGGACAAACCTTACATCCATTATCTCCCCCCCGACCGCGCACCTCAGATTACCCATTCTGGTATGCTCTTCCTTCGTGTTATGGGTATTTCGTTCTCATATCCCTACAGTTAGCGAAGACTATAGAGTTAACTACAGTAGCCCTCGTGGACCTCATAGAAATATGCTGCAACGTGGGTGACGAGTGGTGTTTCATGTACACTGATGTGAATGTGTACCATTAGATGCATGGCAGGTCGTCACCTCTACCGATCCCTTGGCAGACTCGGATGAAGAACTACAGGACGAACATGTTAGGCTTGACTACAGTGAGCGACAATTGGGGATCAACCATGGTCTCAATATTGACGTTACTAAGGCAGACGTGTAGACGTCATTGCTCGGCTGCGTGGGCGGCCCCCATCACCACCTCCAGATCTGCTGCCACCGGCCAGCAGCACTAGTTCACACCCACTACCTAGTAGTATCTCTGATACCCGTGAACACCGGTGGCGAACGGTGGAATCGTGGAAGTAGTTCGCAGTCACGCGTCTCACGGACAAAAGGAGGTAATCAAGTACCAACAGGCCTTGTGTGCATAATACGCATACCCAAAGGAGTACACTCCCTCTGAAAAGTCGTATTCGTAATAGTAAGAACAACTAATGGCAACACGTAAACGACTGTGTGTGAGCGTAGACAGTGGTGTCGAAGGAGTACACGTGTATCAAACGGGTTCGCAATCGGCCAAGAAGTAAAAGAAGCAACAGATTTGTGTCCGGACGGTTACACGACCCTGTGTCATCAAGACATGCGGCGGCGTACTATACTAAGGAGGAGACTAGTGGGTCCAATAAACTGTCCATGGCAATAATTGCACGGCAGTACCAAGAAAAAGTTCAAAATGTCTGTTCAGAAAGCCCCAGGCAACGACAGGATTGGATGCTCGAAGCCAGAACGTCCTCTTAGTTGCATCTCCGCGGGAGCGCTGTGTCTCTTTGGCCTAGGCTGATGGTTTGCAAGGCATGGGAGAGGAGGGGACGTGCGACGCTTGATGGTGGTCATCATTTCACGAGCAGTGTTGGCTCGGCCAAGGGCGTGCATATTGGACTCAGTGAACGCGCATATCGCATTACCGCAAGCACGGGGACTGGCTATCTCAATGTTTGGATAACAAGGAGAGCTGGGTATTGCGCTTGGCCGTATATAAGAAAGAGAGTCGCTGCTCTGACGGCGCCTAACGGGCATATGTAATCTGCCGATGTTGATACTAGGTTTCGTGTCCGAGACAGTCCGTGTAGTCGATGAGTTCCTATCGCCCCTTAAGAACATGGGTAGACGAGGTGTTGCGAAAATAGGCTCATTGGTCATCGATGGGGGAGGATGGAGTGGTCCGACGCGGGCGGTGATCTCTTCCAGCGATGGAAGTTTGCGTCTACCCAAGTTCAGGTCTGCCTTGGGCTTGCTGATGGGTAGACGACAATCCGCCTGTTCAAACCGGGTGCGGTACCCGGGGAGGTCTTTTCCAATCCAACCATCATGCTCGGCAGATGAGTAGAACGACGGTGAGCCGAGGCCGAGAGACGGGAGTGGGCAATGATCGACACCAGGGGTTTCAACAGGGGTTTTAGACCCTGCAGTGGGCAACGTAGGTTCCTGAATTCTTGATAGCAAGAATGCACGACGCTCGACTTTGAAGAAGCGCATAGTGGAATGAGATCATGACTCATTCATGCCACCGATCGATTTGACTCACGTTGCTTATTTCTCTGGTTCTTAATGGCAAGTTCCTTGCGCAGATCTGGGACCTTTCTTGAACCGAGCGCAGCTCTCTTGTCACGCGACACTTCGAGAAGCAGATCAAACTGATCACGAGGAAACTCTCTTGGAGGACAGTCTGCAGGACGAAGAGGAGACGAATGCCTGGGAGATATGGCAGGAAAGTGATATTGGGGGCTCAACGATTGTGGGCGGTACCCGCTATCATCCTTGTCTGGGTTGCCTGCCGAGAGAAACGGAGAGTAGGGCTCTCGATATGCTTTGACTGGCGAAGCAGGCGAAATACGTATGTGAGGAATGGATGTACTGATGGCGGATAACATAACTTGGGAAGGCGACCGGCGCCAACTGTGAAAAGAATGAATGAATGAAAAGAATGGAAGCTCAGGCTTGTCGGGTGGACGTGGATGGAAATAAAAGGAGCAGTAAAGGTGGCAAACACGAGGAGTTTCACCACGCTCGTGAGTCGCAGCGGTTAGTACATAAAGTGGAGTTGCAGTGGCAGACTGCTCTTGTAAGACGCAACTTCTGGTTTATCCCATTATCCAAATTTCACTTGGTTGTATAGAACTAATAAGCGAGGACAACGTTGTATCCAGCCAACAGATATGGCACTAATTTTCCATGCCTGCCAGCTGGCTTACGATATGTTCCCAACATACCAACGCGCCAAGTTCACGCCAAGCACTTCCCAGAAATAGTACTTCGAGTACCATCCACACAGAGTCTATATTGTTACAGGGCGTGATATCTCCTACTGATATCAATATTTACTACAACGATAACAAGGGCGAGGTCATGTTTCACCAGCCTGAATCTCAATTTTCAACGCAACCGATCACAGGCCTTCCGCCTCAACTGCTTCTTTTTGCTTCTCGTGGAACAACTTCTCTGCATCAGTCCAGACCTTTGCAGTCTTTCGTCGAGGAAGCTCCAAGAGTGATGGTAACAAATCGTTGCTGAACTGTTCAGAAGCCTCACGGGGCAACAGCGTTGGTAGGTGATCAATGGAGATCACCGACAGCAACGGCAAATCTTGTCTGGTACGCAAGCCAATATATTAGCTGGTTCGGGCAACGTAGCAAAAATACGCACCTGAGATCAACAGGAACAGTTGGTTCGGGAAAGGTTGTGTTTATACTGTAAATTGGGATGGGGTTGAATGGGTTCGTCGTGTCGCAACTGACATCCACAACTACCGACAGCCGTCTATCTTGGCCGGCAGCGGTAATTTGGTTATTGTCCAAGAAAGGCGGGATCAAAGACGAGAGATAAATGCAATTTACAAAGATATCCACGTCAAGGATTTCCTGGAATGGGCCACCTTTGGCGGTCTCAGCCATATCCCACTTCAATATGTCGTCCCTACGGAGGCTTGGTCAAGACATACAATGCCTAGCTTCGTGTGATCACTCACTCAGCCAGACCGATCTTGCGGAAGAGATCCACAGCTCCGCGCCCGCATCGTCCGAGGGCACCGATCACGAGAGCTTTGACGCCCTTGGCGCTCCCGCCGAGTGTGCTCTTGACACCTTCGATCATGGCAGTTTCATTCTCGAAAGGTTCTAAACGGCCCAACTTCTCTCCTGATCGTTGTGCAGCCAAAGCAAGTGCACCAGCGGCAGCACCAGCGAAGCCAGCATGATACCCGAAAGCAGCAACACGCCGACCCGTAGCATCGGTGAGGAACTCCAGATCATAGAGTGTACCTCCTCCCTTGTAGAAGCGAGCCAGAACGGATGACCATCCTGCTTGACGCTTGTAACAGTGGGCAAACTGGATGTGTGTGTGGGGAAGGGGCTCTTGAGATACTGGGAGCTCCTTCAACCCGATGATGGGGACATCTGTAGGGGCCGTGGGCCATGAGTTATTATCCACCAACGTGCAACCGACACTGTGACTCGTGTTTAGCAAACGACAACGACAATATTATTTGCACTACACATACGCCTCAAACTCAGCATCATCGAAGATCCGTTGTTCATCGCGTTCGACACTGATTTGGAATCCAGCATCAATCAGCTTCTTCGCCGTGGTAGGCGTGAGGGCTGAGCGACGCTCAAACTCCTTTTTTTCGCAACGAAGCCAGAGGCGTTGGGTAGACATGATCGATCGAGGTGTATTGCTCTGATTCACAACTCACGAGTATTTAATAACTATGTAGTTGGCTAGTCAAGGTGACTCGCGATCGGAGTCAGAGAATTTTAATTTTAAAGATAAGACGACATTTTGCGATCACATGACTTGACGCGTCGTGAAACGCGTGACGTACTGCACGATGAGAAAGCTTAGCCAAGGACTAGCAGGAAGTATTTTCCTCCAACACAAGGAGCACGTAGGCTCCCCAAGAATTCACGAGTATTGAGAAGTAAATGTATTCAAGGTGGAAGAGTTGGAAGGGCATGCATGTTCCAGTTCTTCACCTGAGCCTCTGGGTCAGCGACTACTAGTTAAATCTAGACTATATGCATGCTCAGCGTAACGCACATACTTGGTCACGTTGAATAATGAGGGTATAAACGTTTTCATGATGATAACAAATCCGTCGCCTTTTAGCAGTCCGTCAGGCCTTCAAGCTTCAGGACCCGGGACTATAAAGAAAGGACAAACGCACTCTGGAGGTCTCCGGCAGGTTTGTGATATCGAATTAGTGCACGGCTGATTGCAGCTAGAGCAAGCACGGGGACAATATTTTTGGGAAAACACTTGTCCGAGTCTTACACTGCGGTATGTCTTAACGATCTCGCTCAACGATTCCTGTAATACCACCAGGTTCACACTTGTACCTCGTTTCGTTGCTTTCATTCTTCCACGAGCTACATGTGAAGTGACTGTATCTTTTGTTGGCGTCGCACACACAATGTTTTAGAACGGAGAATGGCAATGAGTACGGCGCGCCCCAGTACCTGCCAATTCAGCGATATGTATTAAGTATATTGGCAAAGCTTAACTTCATCTGCTACTGAAATATAGACCGTCCACGACGCAATGTATTTTCCCAAGACACTGGGATTAAAATATTTGAACTTACTCCCTCCCAGCAGCAGAAGCATTCAGAATTTCCAGAGACCCCGTTGTGATATTAATGTGTTCGCTCTGTCTGAATCAGGATTGCCCATATAACCTCGCTGCAGCCTCGAGCTTCCCTTCCTCGAATTTTTTGTACCGTTCGACAGCAGTCCCCGCCGGAACGTACGGGTCGCCTCGAACAAGGCCCTCCATGGTCTCTTTCGTGTATTCTTCAAGCGTAAGCCAGAAACGAGTTAGTCCTTGCGTTGTGCCTTGGACTAACGCACAGGTCAAGTGACAGTAGAGACAAAAAAATGGAAGAGAACTCACAGCCGTGCAACTCCGACTCGACTCGTCTTCGCGATAATGAGATCGATAACAATGAAATAAAGTGTCACTTACGGAGGAATAATCTCGACCACATGAACATTCTTCCTCTTGAGCTGAACGGCAAGCGAGATACTCAAGCTGTGAAGGGCAGCTTTCGTTGCGCAGTAGTCAGGGACTCCAGCGGCAGGAAAGATGGACAGTCCTGATGAAACTGGGTATAAGAATGTCGGACGGCCTTGCTCCTGCACAAGGGTCAGACGAATGAAAGGAAAATGAAAAAAAGCTCGTACCCCAAGCTTGATAAGATGAGGGAGGAAGAAGGTGATCATCCTGACAATTGACGTGTAATTGGTGGTGAGTTCAGACTCGAGAGCTGATCGAAATTAGTATGTCATATGTGCACAGTGGGAGAGACCTACAGTCGAGATCAATGGTTTCTGGCCTCGTGAAGTCGAAGCCACGTTGAATGCCACTCGAGAACAAGACAGCGTCAAGCTGAACAGCTGGTCAGCTGGTTTACAGGGGACGGTGCTAGGGACACATACGTCTGGGTAAGTATTGACAATCTCCTCGATAGAAGATTTGAGAGCGTTGCGCTCTGAAAGAACGTCAAGAGTAACACTCTTGAGTCGTCCTGTAGCATGATGAGTAGCAACCAGTTCGTCAAGCCTTTCCTTGCGGCGCCCGCAGACAACGACAGTTGGCTTAGAAGGAAGATCCAAGATTGCAAGGGCAAGGGCACGACCTATCCCCGAAGTGGATCCAATGACGAGGACGCACTTACAATCGCTGATGCTAGGCATGATGAAAGAGCAAGTTTTGTGGTAGAAGACTGATAGTAGTTGGAAAAGGGGGAATGAGAGCGCTGACCTTTATAACTACGCGATCATAATATGTTGTCATCATAGCCACCCATCAGGAACTTGAACTTTCTGTGACAAGGATTGATGCATTGATGTGATGGAGCGTATCTGCATTGCAACCTGGGACGCGTACGTCGACCCTCTGCTCTCGAGTGCAATATGCATAGGCTGACACTTATATTACACCATGTGCCCATGTTTCCACCAGTACAGTGTGCCTGTATAAACTTCATGCAGGGGGGACTGAAACTTTGAGTTTTACACTGAACTAACTATGGACATTGTCACTTCATGTTCACTGGCGTATTTCGTTGAAAAGATACTGATTACCTGGGAATCGAAACCGAACACCAATTACAGTGCCAGTGAAGGTCAATTGAACACCCCAAAGGCGGAAAATCAAAAACTCATTCACTGTGCACGAACCAGAAGAGCTGCAGGTTAGATGCACAAAGAAGACAGCCCCTGTACAATGCATATTCTCAGCCACAAGCGTTAATTTTCAAAAAAAACGCAACGACTTACAGCTTCACGACACGCAACACTCTTCAGCTTAAACTGTGGGGCTCACACTCGTCAATAGACCTTATGATCACTTACTATGCCTTCGAGAACAGCATCTCGAAAAAAGCGATGCTGTACAGCAAAGAGAGATCAGTTTCCATGCGCCCGCGAAAAATAAATACACACCTCGTGATGCCCATCTTCTAATAACAACTTGCTCATTCGCAACAAGCTCGCGCCGTCATAGAGAAGAGCGTTAAAGAAACAACTCGCTCGCAGAATCAGATGAAAGGGCCTAGCAAACAGCCAGAAAATCAACCGCATCAAGCACCACTGGTTAAGTCAGACTGCCACTGATTTGAGATGTGGCAAGGGCCGCAACAACTGCAGAGTGGTGTGGTGGTATGTAGAATGTATGAAAACGTCGTGAGCAAGCCGTTAGAAGATTCCTGCATTGAAAATCCAGTCGCGCAGGGCTACACAGCGTAGCATTACTTGGATTCACAAACAAAGCCTGAGTTAGTGATATTTCCCTTAAAAAAGCGGAAGCAGAACGTTAATGAGTTAGATGACATTAATCCATCGTCCGCAGAATTTGCTTGTTAGACACGACAGGGCAGCCATGACATGATGATGGAGGTATCAATGAAGCCCGTGCCTCCTGCGGCCCACGAATTTCCTTCTCACGGTAGTCTGGCCATAACCCAGATCAACTATATGATATTGTTCAGCCAGTGATTCTGACTGAAACAGTTAGATCTCGCGTTGCCTTCCGCATGCAACCGCTCAGTGAAATGCAGGATCATGCACATATGCTGAAAAGTTTGCAATGTACCAGAATGGTCAATGATCAACGGTTTTGGTTGAACGCTGCAGCAATAATCAGTTATCGATTGAATTTGCCGCATGCACCTCCTTGAGGCTACCTCTTTAACCTTTAAAGCTATCAATCTACATCCACCATCCAATCCACCATCTGATCCCTGCATCCACGATGCTCAACAAAATACCCATGCCTACTGCTGCAGACATCACTCGTATGACGTACAAAGGGGCAGAGCAGCTCCGGAACGAGCAGCGCCCAGGAGGGGACCCAAGTAAACTGGACTTTGCGACAGTACCGACCTGCTATAATTGCGATGCATCTATCATGGGTCGTAAAGTACGTCCCAATAATTACGTTCTAGCAAATGATTGACTTTGAGTCGATAGCCCTTGATCTGCGCGGGTTGTAGATCCGCTGTATTTTGCTCGAAGAATGTCAATTTGCATCTCCATTAACATCTACGCACTCTCTTATCTTCGACTTTTTAGTGCCATACCGCGAACTGGAAGGCAGGGAGGTTTGGAACCCAAGGTCACAAATTCTTCTGTGCAAAGAATAAGGTATGAATGATCTATTCTTGCTCAGAGTACACTGCAGTTTATTCATGGTGCCCAACGAATTCCATTTCAGGTTCATATGGAGAAGGTCCCACAAGTGCAAGCCCTTCTGAAGCAATTTCCTTGGGGTCGCATCGAGACGGATGGCACCTTTGCCGAACCTGTCGTGCGCGCCTATTACAATGTCTTGGGTGCAGAGGGCTTCGGCTACTGGAGCATTCCTGGAGGCTCCAACCCACATGTTAAACATGCAAGTGATCCGTCCAGTCCATCTGGAGCGCTTCGCGTCGACGATACAAAGGGATTTGAACACGGCTACATGCTGCTTTCAGATAAACTGTTGACAGATGAGACTGGGTGGAAGCTAGAGAAGCGTTTAATCCCCCGATTGATTTTTGAGCTTGGCACGGAGCCTGAGCTTGCTTCCAAGGTGGACATCGTGGACTGGGACTCATGGTACAAGTGGCGCAATCTTCCCAAGGAATCGCCAGCTGCCTTATTGTTGCATTACCCTCTCACCGTATACCAGCTTTTGGTGAACGTGCTCCAGGTTACAGGGCCAAAAAGAAATTCTTTGGAGAGTCGTCAGGCGCTGAACGTACATTATATCGGCGCCGAAGTTGAACTGAATATGCTTCCCCTGTATGTGGGAACTTTCAGCGGCTAATCTTTTCCCTGCTGATCATCATCATCGCGCTAGATTCTCTGAATTAGCGTTGCTACTTCCTCACACAGATATCAAGATGACTTTCTTCGGCATCGCAGTCCACTCTATCGTTAATAAGGCAAAGAAGAATAGCATCGCTATGAAGGCAAAACAGAATGAGCCAGTCTATACCTACACCAGTCCTACATCTTGCGGAGCCAGCACCCTGTCCATTTTTCTTCATGGAGATCATGAAAATTGGGACCTGCGACTCCCCTTCCTCTCAGGAAACAAACCGGACGCTATCGTCGGTCTGAATGCTGGGCTCACCAGCTATCCCGCGTGGCAGTTCGTCATCTTGTGTTGTCACTTCTGACAATATGCCTTTTGCCGTCACCGAATATGCAGAACAATCCACTGAACTTCAAAGAGATGCTCTTCCTCAGATCGTTGCCCATGCCCTCCCTCACTTACACTCAGCAGGCATGAATGGCCTGGAGCTTCACAATCTCACGCGGCCCAGAGAATACCCCATCGCATTTAATCCGTTTCAGCGCCCTGGACAGAGAAACTTGGGCTCGGTGCGGTTGCCGAACGTGCCGAACGGTTTTACGATGAGAGTGGTCGGTAACGACGAGCAGGAGATATTCCACCCCGTATCCGCTGGTGTCCCTGTACCGGCTTCAGACTTGAGTGAGCTGCTCCAGAAAACGGAGCAGTTTTCGCTGAACAGTCTGGACTGAGTAACTTGGCACCTATACCTGTATCCGTGTTCGAGATCCGTTAAAGGACGAATATTACGTTGAGTAGGCAATACTATTCATCACGCATCCAGAGAATATGTAGTGACTGGTTAATAAGTCCCTGACTATAGTTGATGGCAATGATAGGTGCATCGGGCTATTGAACATCAGGAATGGCAATAGAAACGGCGCGCCCTGACTCGCAGTACTTGGTGATTAGATATGCTGGCAAAGCTTGGATTAGTCTCAGCCTCTACTGGCACACCGTTCGCAACGCAACGCAGTTCTCCCAACTGAGATTCTGATTTTGGAACTTATAATCTCCCAGCAGTGCAGCACCCCTAAATTCAGGAGAATACTCCAATTACACAACAGAGTAAGCTCAACGACCATTACTATACATTCTGAGTCAGTTTGCAGAGGGAGACTACGTTCCAGTGCGTGTCTTCTATGTCTGAGTCATTGCCTTGAGATGCCCATGCATCTTCGTTGCAGCCTCCAACTTCCCTTCCTCAAACTGTTTATGCTGGTTGACGACCATCCCCGCTGGAACATACGGGTCACCTCGAACAAGGCCCTCCATCGTCACCTTCGTGTATTCTTCGAGCGAAAGCCAGAAATTGGACAGACGTTGCGTGGTGCCTTCGACTAACGCGCAGGTCAAGTGGCAGTAGGTACGGAAAACTGGAAAGGAACTCACAGTCGTGCAACTCCGACTCGACAAGCCTTCACACGACAATCAGATCGACAACAATGAAACAGATAGTGTCACTCACGGAGGAATAATCTCGACCACGTGAACATTCTTCTCCTTGAGCTGAACAGCGAGTGAGATACTCAAGCTGTGGATGGCAGATTTTGTCGCGCAATAGTTGGCGATTCCAGGGGCGGGAATAATGGACAGTCCTGAAGAAACTGTGTATAAGAATGTCGGACGCCTTTGCTCCTGCACAAGGGTCAGAGGAATGAAAGGAAAATAAAAAGTGTTCATACCCCAAGCTTGATAAGATGAGGGAGGAAGAAAGTGATCATGCTGACAATTGACGTGTAATTGGTGGCGAGTTCAGACTCGAGAGCTGATCGAAATCAGTATGTCATAGGTGCACGGTGGGAAAGACCTACAATCGAGATCAACGGTTTCTGGCTTGGTGAAGTCGAAGGCACGCTGAATGCCACTCGAGAACAAGACAGCGTCAAGCTAGACAGCCAGTCAGTGTTGATTTGCAATGAATAAAGCTAGGAGCACATGCGTCTGGGTAAGTGTTGACGATATCTTGGATAGAAGATTTTAGAGCGTTGCGCTCTGAAAGAACGTCAAGAGTAACACTCTTGAGTCGTCCGGTGGCATTGTGGGAGGCAACCAATTCGTCAAGCCTTTCCTTGCGGCGACCGCAGACAATGACGGTTGGCTGAGAAGGAAGATCCAAGATTGCAAGAGCAAGGGCACGACCTATTCCCGCAGTGGATCCAACGATGAGGACGCACTTAGAATCGCTGATGCTGGGCATGATAGAAGAGTAGGTTTGTGGCGATGATTCGCTGATGGGCTACCAAGGAATGATGATTGATACATATCTACTCTGCGGCATAGAACGCGTACTACTAGTACGTGCATGGTCGGCTCTCGAGTGTGATATGTAATTGGTTATAATAAATAATATTATGTTATCTTCAACGGTATGATTTCCAATGTGGCATCAGCTGCATGAAATAACGCATTTCTAACAGCCCGTTCACTTCGCACGTGAGGAACGTGTTAGACACAGTGTGTAATACTACTCATAGGTTCTAAGTTGGCAACTTGGATCCAATCCAAATCCATCTATCGTAATGGCGGATGACCAGCATTTGCCTTCCGACGCGTCCACCCCGTCCGTCGATGAACACGAAATCAAGGTAAACTATCAAATTTAGGGTCAAATATTGAGTATCTGATCAATTTGAACGGCAGAAAAATATTACCGAGGCAGATGAATTGAAGCAGGAGGGCAACGAATCGTTCCGAGCCAGCAGATGGAGTGAAGCTCTCGTGTCATACAGAACTGCTCTGAGTCGACTACCTAGACGAACGCCGCAGCCTCCTCCACCGGATAGCTCACAAAATGATACGTCAGATCACGGTGGTGCCAGATCAGCGAGTTCAAGTAAGGTGCCAACTCGAGAGGAGGGGCCAGAGCCAGCCAACATCCCCTCCGAGCTCGAGGCAGAATGTGCCAAGGCTCGAGCAGTGTTGAATGCCAACATTGGTGCATGTCTTGTCAAACTTGTATGCACATCAATCCTCGATATTTCGAAGATCTCACTGTAATCGATCAGAGCGATTACAGCAGTGCAGTTGAATCATGTACCCAATGTAAGTCGTCTGTAAAAACAGAAAAAACATCCATACATGTTTCCCTGCAGCATTGCTCGACGATCCTCACTATATCAAGGCCCTGCAGCGGCGAGCGGCTTCCAACGAACGCCTCGACACATGGTCGTCTTTGACACAAGCACAAGAAGGTATGATTTGCTGCTAAAGGGCATCTTGATATGTCTCAAACGAAATCATCTAGACTACAAGTCACTCCTGGAATTACTACCCCCTACATCTCCTCAGGTAGCACAGACCAAGCGGAGCCTGCAGCTTCTTGAACCTCGGCAGCAAGCGGCTCAGAAGAAAGAAATGGCCGAAATGACGGGCAAGCTGAAGAGCCTCGGCAATAGTATACTGGGTACGTCGTCACTTCCCTCTGCAAACTGATAAGCCTGACGTTATACCATCAGGCAACTTTGGATTGTCCACTGACAACTTCAAGTTTGAACCAAATGGGCAAGGTGGTTACTCGATGAACATTGTTCGATAGTATTAAGATCTTGAATTCCTTCAAACTGCAGTATGTCACGCTGTATTAGAAAGCATATCATCAATGTATATTGCCTGTCAATTTTAGATTGTCATCCCGTGTGTCACTGTTCGATGTAAGTTGCGTTCTTAGAGAAGACGGTGAACCGGTTGAACGGGTAAATCTATAGAATGCAAGTCTCGCTGTCATTGAATCTGTTTGCATGAGAAATTTTGATGCACTTACCCTGGCAGTAATTCTGCCTCTTACTAGGGCCATAGACACAGGACCATACTCGCGCGAGTCTTTTGACCACGCGGCGTTGTCACCAGCAATCCAAATGTGCCCCTTGGGGATGACGACATGCTCGGTCGAATGAGCTTTGAGCCCAGTCGGATCGACGCAAATTACATCACCCGGAAGGCCAATTACCCTTTTGCAAATGATGCGAGAGGGATCAACGGGTGATGTCAGGGTTATGAGCTCCCCTCTTCCAAGTTGATTAGGAAATAACCGATGAGGGAGAATGCTTTCGAGAACCAGTTCGCCGCTGTTGTCAAGCGTTGGAAGCATAGAAGGACCAGCCATCTATGTATTATCAGAAGCGTTAATGACGGCTGGTTGGATTCACGAACGAAGCATAGGCCGCCGACATTTTCCTTGAAAAGGTGGAAGGCAAAACCGAAGTTAATGAGCTGGACGACATCAATGAATGTCCGCAGAACTAGTTGTTAAATACAAACGTGAAGGCAAGTAAGACCGACTCTCTTGATGGCTGGCTCTACGAGGTGCAGCCATGATGGATGTATCATTGAAGCGAAGCCTGTCACAGATATTTATGTAAACAATTACCTTGCCCCGACATCTCACGGTAAGCCTTAACAAAGCCTTAAGGTACTAGTCGGGTCTATAGGTCTGGGGTGCTAACTCAACCTTGCACTGGCAGACGTGGCATGGTTCAAGTTGAAGCATTCAGTTCTATCGTTGCTTCCCGCACGGAACCGCTGAATGAAACACAGGATCATGCATATCTGCTAAGATTTTCGCAGTGTACCAGGCTGATCGATGATCAAAGGCCCTGATCCAGCACTGGAGCAAGGATCAGTAATCGACGTAATATGTTGCATAGGCAGCCTTGAGGCAGCCCCATAAAAGCTATCGATCTACGTCCACGACCCCCCCCAATCCGCCCTCTGATTCCTGCATATACGATGTTCAACATGCCCATGCCCACCGCTGCAGACATCACTCGCAAGATATACAAAGACGCAGAGAAACTCCGGCGTGAGCAGCGTCCAGGAGGGGACCCTAGTAAAGTGGACTGTTCGATATTTCCAACCTGCTATAATTGCGATCTACCCATCATCAGTGGCAAAGTATGTCGAAATAGTCGCGTTTTAGTCCATGACCGTGACTGACTTTGAGTCATTAGCCCTTGATCTGCTCGGGTTGTAAAGCCGCTGTGTTCTGCTCGATGAATGTCAATTCGGGTCTTCATTAAATCTCTGCACTCCCTTACCTTGGACTTTTCAGTGCCATAAAGCAAACTGGAAAGCTGGGAGGTACGGAAGCTCAGGCCACAAACTCCTCTGCGCAAAGAATAAGGTACGGATGATCAATGCTTGCCTGTTGTTACCTGAAGTACAAAATTTTCATATTGTTTGACATGGTTCCATTTCAGGTTCATATGGAGAAGGTCCCCCAAGTGCAAGCCCTCCTGAAGCAATTTCCTTGGGGGCGCATCGAGAAGGATGGCACGTTTGCCGAGCCTCTCGTGCGCGCTTTGCATAATGTCTTGGGTCCTGAAGGCTTTGGCTACTGGAGCATTCCTGGAGGCTCCAACCCACACCTTAAACATGCAAGCGATCCTCCCCGACCTGCTGGAGCGCCTTGCATCGATGATACAAAGGGGTTTGAACACGGCTACATGCTCCTTTCAGATAAACTGTTGACGGATGAGACTGGCTGGAAGCTAGAGAAGCGTTTAATCCCTCGATTGGTTTTTGAGCTTGGCACGGAGCCTGAGCTTGCTTCCAAGGTGGATATCGTGGACTGGGACTCATGGTACAAGTGGCGCAATCTTCCCAAGGAATCGCCAGCTGCCCTATTGTTGCATTACCCTCTCACCGTATACCAGCTTTTGGTGAACGTGCTCCACGTCACAGGGCCGAAGAGAAATTCTGCGGCGAGACGTCAGGCGCTCCACGTGCATTATATCGGTGCCGAAGTTGAATTGAATATGCTTCCCCTGTATGTGGGAACTCTCAGCGGCTAATTTCAGTCTGACGACAATTACGATAGATTCTCTGAATTAGCCTTGCTGCTTCCTTACACAGACATCAAGATGACTCTCTTTGGCGTCGCGGTCCACTCTCTCGTCAAAAAGGCGAAGAATAATAGCATCGCAATGAAGGCGAAACATAACCAGCCAGTTTACACGTACACCAGCCCTGCATCATGTGGAGCCAGCACCCTGTCTATTTTTCTCTATGGAGATCATGAAGACTGGCACCCGAAGCACCCCTTCATCCGATACATATACAACAAACCTGATGCTGTCATCGGCTTAAATGCTGGGCTCGTCAACTATCCAGCATGGCAGTCCGTCATCTTGTACTGTCATATGTACAATGAGCCTTTTGCCGTCACCGAATATGCAGAGCAATCCGCAGAACAGCAAAGAGACTCATTCCCTCTGATCATCGACCATATCCTCCCTCAGGCCCGCTTAAACTACCATGGCTCGGAGGTTCACAATCTCACACGACCTAGAGAATACCCCATAACATTTAATCCTTTCCAGTGTCCTGGGCAGAGGGGCATGGGTCAAATTCGATTGCCGAGCGTACCGAACGGATTCACAATCAGAGTAGTCGGTGACGACCAGCAGGAGACGGTCCACTCCGTCTCTGCTGGCGTCCCTGCACCGGCTTCGGACTTGAGTGAGCTGCTCCAGAAGTCGGCGCAGTTGTCGTTGTGAATTGTTTGGGCTGAGTATCTATCTTGCACCGTGCAAGTCTCCATGAATCACAGTCAAATGATGAATATTATGCCGAGCAGGTGATACTGTTCATTGCGGATCTTGCCCAGAGAATACTTATGTAGTCACTAGTTACGTTGAGTAGGCGATTGCCCGGCGAATTACTCGTGTTAGTGTTCATACGTCCCTGACTCTACTGTATGATAGCCACTTGGCCACCTACCAAAGGGGGGTCGAACTTCAAGAGCATACAATTCCAATTTGAAATCGAGTAATCACTTCATGCAGGGAAGATCTACTGACGCTTTTGATGTCGTCGTTCAAACGTAAAACACTATCAGGTCGAGCTACCCTGCCCCAAGGCACTCGCCTTTCTCCATTTTCCACATCTACCGTAATAACTTCAACTGGGGTACCTTCACTTGATGATATTCTCGGTGGGGGACTACCCTTATCCTGCTCTCTCGCTGTCCTTGCTCCCGATCATCACTCGGCATACGGAGAACTAGTGCAGAAGTACTTTGTAGCGCAAGGTCTTGCGTCTGGTCAGAAAGTCTGCATCATCCGTGACGAACCCCTGAGATTTGCAAGGGAGGGCATCTGGATGGCAGGGAGTACTCCATCGACGCCTGCACAAGCCAGTACAACTGAGGATGCAGACGACGAGAAAGCGAGTCAGCATGATGATAAGATCAAGATTGCCTGGCGTTACGAGCAGATGAAGCAGTTCCAGACCACAGTCTCGTCCAACTCGTATGTAAGTCCTCTACTCACGCTGGACGATACTGAGGTGTTCAACCAATTCTAGTCTTAATGACGATTTCTGCATGACATTTGATTTGACATGCAGGATCCCCACCGCATCCCTTGATGCTGCACGACAATCTGGTCAGCTGATCCCGATTGATGTCGATATATCTGAGGATGGCACGGGAGTGATCGAACAGATCGAGGAGCTACTGTCAACGGCACAAACGCACACGCTGTTCGAATATGTATCCCTGATTTAGGATCGCCCCACTGGGGCGACATGCAACCACTAGTGAGACAGTCGCCTGCCACAAGCCTGAGGAGATCGTCACTGATGTAATGATAGACCGTGTTGACCTTGCTGCACTCGCTTCGAAGGCTCCTGCATCGGTATCCAAACGCTTGCGCTTCGCTATCTCTTGCTCCTCATATGTGTACGGATATGTGGGGAGGACCTGGGTGGGTTCAAAAAGTAGGGTGGCTAACCGATGCAGCGATCTCGATGTCGGCATTTGGGGGTGAGCATTGATGCGTGTGCCCAACAATAGATCAAACTCTGATGTCATGTGCCCAGCTAACCCTTCGCTGTCTTCTCTTTTCCCTTCCCATCACGGCATCGTTCAAATTCATACACTTCCGGCCCCCCATACAATTCTCCCAGCCAGTGATAAATACTCCACTCTCCGCGGCCTGTCATCGGCTGCGGGGACAATGGGTGGAAGCGGAGAAAATAACTTGGCTTTCAAGTGCATGCGCAAACGTCTTATCTTTGAGACACTACATCTGGACTTGGAAGGTGGTGTGACTGAGCGACGGACGACACCTGCCTCGAATGCTATGTCCCTGGATGCTGGCATGGTGCATGAAACGATGCCCGCCACTGTCCTCGCCACTGAAGGCAGAAAGGGTTCCCTTGCAACTGTCGAGGTTGAATTTGAACGTTCCAAGGATGTAGGGTCTACTCGGGCCATCGCCGATATTACTACCGATGACTCCCTTGTCCCTCCAAAGAAGCCAAAGAAAAAGGTGGCATTCCGTTCGGAACGCCCTGATTTGTATGATTTTTGAAAATGACTTTATCTCCGTTACCCCTGCACTTCTCAAAGAATATGAAGAATAGGCATTGGGAAGTTTCTTGATTCGTACCCGCGAGGGAAAGCCCTCACGCATGCGTGCTTCCATCAGGTGGCGATGACTGCCGGAGTCTAGCGGAATGGAGTACAGTATACCCTGTTATGGCATTTCAGATTGACGACCTTGGTCCTTGACACCAAAGGACATTTTCTGGAAATAGAAAAAGTGAGTATCATTTCATGACGCCACGGTGTCAACGACGGTAACGCTACATGGACAACCTACCTCGATGGAAAGACAGATAACTGAAGTGGGAATATTAGCCCTCGTTACGTTGGATTGGCGAGGAGATATAGGTCTAGAGAAGTACTAAGTATTTGATGTCGTTAAGGAGGAGATATCGTGATCAGTCAGTACTCATCGCTCTGGCAGTTGGCATAATTAAATAACCATGAGATGTGACGTGTGAAGTTTAGATTTGAAGAGCTTTCACCCTGCAGCATTGTGATGGTCATGAGTAACCATGTTGCGCGATTGCAGTGATGGAGATATCTCACTGTAGTTATACACTTTTTTTTTGCACTAGTAATCAAAATTTATGGGAAAGAAAACGTGTTTTATGTAACAACATGAGACTGAGCGCTACTACAGTGCATAAAAAAAATTGGACGTTCCTAGCTTAAGCTTCAGATTTCACTGTGTCGACGTAGCACTCTCGTCTGGCCAACTAATCATCAGACCAGTCATGTAAGTCAAAGTTTCATTATGCTCCTTGTTCTGTTGACAAGCTTCCTGTCAGGAACAGCCATCCCAACGTGCTTGTACCCTCTTCACGATCAACGCCAGCTTCACCAAGAGCTGGTTATACAGTATACGAAAAACCACTACCGCCAATGCCACCAATTAATTATGCTCTACCAAGACCAACCAGTTGGATAGATGGATCTGGTGAGAATTTATCATTAGAACTTGGCTGTTGGATTGATTGGTGTTTCAATTCATACTTAATGGTTGTGCTTGTTTTGAGTCTTCGGCGCTTAGTACCATAATTCTTTCGTTGTTTTCGACGTTCGTTACCCGACCTTTTTTTGCTGACCCGTTATCAAAGATCTAGACCATCCATCAACCGCTTTACCGCCTTCCAGCTCACTTTCTCCCAATCATCACACCGGATCCCGCTCACGCTCACCGACACCATCTGTACCTGGTGAATCTGGGACCTGGTCCCAACATTACGGTACTCAGAATTTAACCAATATGAGACTTACTGCGGATATTTTAAGTCTGGACGAGTCTCCATCTGCTGGCAATCCCCTGGTGCCAGACCATTCGTTTTTACAAACACCTCTCGTGCGGTCGGTCTCCGAGGGCGAATCTTCTTTTCGTTTAGACTCATCTCCAATACACTCATTTGCACGACCCCCCAAGGTGCCGCCGCTCCCAGATCCCTCTCAGTTCCCAGACCCATATCCCCAGCGTTCCCCATATTCTCGCATGTCTGATAGGCTCTCTTCTACCCTACCCGCTCTCTCTTCTGAAGGTTCCTCTTCCGCATCCACACGTTCGTCTGCATACACTAGCTCCGGAAGTGCACTAACATCGAGTGACTATGGCCATGTTCACGTCGCTACAGGAGAGGACGAGGAGATTGGCGTCGCAGTAGGAATCGCATCCGACGATGTGGAACAGATCTTACAGACCAAGACTGTTGCTCCTTCATCCGCAGGAAGGACTCCAATAGACCAAACCAGGTGGTCAGAATACTCAGCGAGTATTCGATCGAGGTCATCTTCCATCGGGCAAAATAACACTCACAGCATGCATGAAAATGGTGCACCGCGCCTTCGGGAAAACCCTAGCTTCGACATGGGTTGGCAAACAGTAGATGAAAGAGATGAAGTTGGTTTGACAAGCGACGAAGAAAACTGACGACCTAGGCGAAGAAGATGACGAAGTTGACGACAAGGAGGAGGAAAGGACATCTGCAGCAGTGGTAGCTGAAGAAGGCCGCGGCCTCATTGTTAGAGGCGAAGGTATCCCAGTTGTCCAGCTACGCGTTGATCCGGGTGAGTACGAGTGTCATTTACAATCCATACAACTCATGACGCCACCTTCATCAGGAACTACACATCTACTCCTGGGATCATCTAGCACGCCCGGTACGATACCGACTTTCCTGCTAGGCGTCTTACCGCAAATATGCAATACCCTACTCGCACTCGACATTTCTGCCAACTTCTTAAACGCGGTTCCTATTGCTCTTGCTTCATGTGAGAACCTAGAAGAGCTCAATGTCGCGTCCAATCCTGTTCGAGTCTTGCCCGCGTTCTTGACTAATCTCACGTCCCTGCGTGTACTCATCGCGGATTCTACTGGTATTGGTAGCCTTCCCGATTCATTATGCGTGCTCGACAAGCTTCACACCCTTAGCATTCGGAGGAACAAAATGCATTCCCTGCCCCAGCTGGCTGTGCCTCTTGCCTTCACTGCAGGAGCTTTATCTTGATGGCAACCCGTTCCAGGGTCCTTGGCAAGCCTTGGTCGAGCCACTGCTCGCTAAAACTTCGATGCCACTGTTTTATCCGCCCTCGACACCCATGATCCCCCCTTCTCCTGCCAGTCTTGCTGATTCATCTGTAGGGCCAGAGACCGACACGGACTCGGAACCTAATAGTGCGGGTCCGGAGGGGCAATCGTTATCTCAATTTGATGACGACACTATTACCCCAGCTCGAGCTCCATTTCTTGGTCGTTCCGTAACCTCCCCGCCAACGCTACCTCTCCCCAAGGCTGTTCCGCGGGGTTTAACACGCACCAAGACTGCTCCAAACGGATCATTTTTCAGTTCAAAATCGCGTCCCAGAACTGAAGCGGCTGATGGACTCAGGATATCGAAGCGCGTAGAAGACTCGGGTTACTACACAGATCACGATCTGCGGAGAATGAAGAGCGCGGGGGAACTACGTTCATCTATCGATCAACATGACTCTCAGATTTCTCCGCAGGACTCACCCATCGTTACCCCTGCCCGCCCAGCGCTCCCGACCTCAGCGTCCAGCTCGAATTTACTTACCGTAGTAGGTGGCTCACCGGAATCCGATCGCTTGAACGTACCCAAGCGGTACGCCAGTCTCGGCGTTTCTTCGTCAGCGTCTACCCCCACGCGTAACCCGCGGCCATCCTTACCTCAGACACTGTTCGATCCGCCTTCAGGCACTCTAGAGCCCACAGTTCCTGAGTCCTTGCGTATCTCTGCCGTCGAAACTATTTCACCGGCGACTTCTCCGCGTCGACCACTGTTGCGTGATCCACCTCAATCTTCACCAGGTTATGGGGAGAGGAACAGCACTGCAAGGCAGTCTCAGTCTCACTCCAAGGACAGAGAAAAGAGCGGGCGATGGGGTTTCTTGAAGAAAATGTCGATGGGGAAGATGCGACCCGGACCCGACTCTCCTGTTCCTCCATATCGCCCGACCACCACGTACAACCGCACGTCTCAGCCCGAGTCGGGGATTGTATCTGTCTCCAACCCCACGACGCCGTTCTCAAGCACGTCGCCTCAGATTGACCTTCGCTTCTCTACTACAGAATTTTTTGGGCCGCTCACGGGCGGCGCTCCTTCTGTCGCTTTGTCCCCACCAGAGCTAGAGAATGAGGCCGAGAACGAGACTCCAACCTCTGAAACGGCTTCCCCGATTCCGCCGCCTGCTATACCTGGCAATTTCCTTATTCCATCATCTTCTCCTGTTCCACGGTCATCCAGAAGAAGGAGCTTCTTGCCGGTCGATGATACAGCGACTATTCCTTCGTCGTCACCTGTACCCTTTCTGGAACGCCTATCAGGCGGTGATAACGCGGATGAGCCAAAGCCTGGTATGTCATCGAGTCCAATTCCAGACTCGGATAGCGTCGACTTTGCTACTCGGAGAGAGGAGGAACGAGCTCGAGAGGCATACACGCGAGCTTTACGCTCTGTTATGGCGTATTTGAAGGATATGAACGATCTTGGCACGTCCCAGGGTGGTAATACCATCAGCATGTATTCCGGAGTGGAAGAGAGTCCGTCGAGCGGAATGCGCTCGCGCAGACCGACGATCATTGAGAGGACGAACTCTGACACGTCCGCAATGTCGGCGATTTCTCGAGCAGGATCCATGTCTGCGCAGCTACGGTCTCCTGATGCCATGTCCAGTCTGCGCAGTGGAACGGCTTCACAGACGGTCAGCGTTGCTGTCTCGGACTGTTCTCAAGAAGAGCGGAAGTACAAGGATGATAAAAGTAAGCGTGCACTTGTGGTTCGGGAAATTGTTGAGTAAGGAGATTTGATTGTCGGCTGTGACAGAGGTTACTAACTGATATTTAAAGAACGGAGAAGACGTACGTGAAAGGCCTTCAAGAACTTGTCGATATATACATCAAGCCTAGTGCTGCTCCTGTCAACCTGATCAGTGGTGTCGGTTCCGGCAAAGAAACAACCATCCCCTCAGCAGAGAGGAAGATCGTTTTCAGTGGCATCGAAGGTCTCTTTTCATTCCACAAGGAAAGCTTCCTTCCGTCGCTGGAGAAAGCAGCGGCTCCGCTGCTGCAGAAACCTCCTGGAAGTGAAGAGTTGGATCCTGACGGTCAATTATCCGTGCAGGTAGCGACGGCTGTGGCTGGATGTTTCTTGAGATACGCTGCTTTCATGAGGATGTACTCGACATATATCAAGTAAGTACATGAATATTTCGTGCTCCGCTCTTTGCTGACAGTATGCGCAGCAACTTTGATAATTCTGTCCAGCGCATCAGATTTTGGTCGACAGATAGGCCTGTCGCAGGAAACACTAGACCAGGCTCTACCCTAACACCCTCCTCCAGCACTGCCCAGCTTGCTGGGCTTGGTCTTGCTATCTCCTCTCCTTCAGTCCCAGCCGTGATGTCTGATCCATCTTCTCCAAGTCATGCAGCACATTTAACGTCTGGACAACGGAGACGAATAAAACACTTTCTGAAACGTTGCCGCATGAATCCTCGTCATTCACAACTCAATATGGAAGGTTATTTACTTTTACCAGTTCAACGAATACCACGGTACCGGCTACTAGTAAGCGTTCGCACTGGTCCGTGTATGACACGACTAACTGATCGTCTGTTCAGTTGGAAGAGCTTTTGCGAAGCACTCCACCATCGTATACCTTTTTGGATGACTCGTTGGACCGAGCTCTGACAGAAATATCTTCGTTGGCAAACAACATGAACGAAGGCAAACGAGAGTCCGAATCTCGACGAAAACTTGTTCAATGGCAGTCAAGAATACGAGGCAAATTCCCCAGCCCTCTGGTGCAACCACATCGGTGAGTTGTGAACACAAGTATCAGCTTCCAGTCCTCTGACGCTTCGACCAGACGGCTCATCATGGATGGACCTCTACTGCTCACTAGGGTGGTGCGAAAGACGGTCGTTTCATTTGAGACGTTCAATGCTCAGGGGGACGCCTCTGCTGTTCAAGTTGATTGCCTAGCGCCAGAGCTTAACCCCCGGCCTCTTATCGGAATACTGTGCAACGACCTTCTTGTTCTCTGCAGGGATCCTAGCGACGGGAAGGATCCGATGTCTGTGGTCGACCTGTGGGCGGTGCTGCGGATGCAGACCTTGCCCCAACCGGCAAGCATCGTCCATGGAACTGGTAAGTTGATCTGAAATGGAGGAGTTTTGCTTATCTCATCATTGGCCCTAGTTTTGCGCCTGGTTGACAACAAGGCTATCCTGTATTTCGATGCTCCATCACCTTCTGATGCTTTGAACTGGTTTAGAGGTAAATACGACCACACCTAAAGTCCACTTTTGGCTGACAGCGGACCTTAGCCATTAATCTGCATATACCTTCTGCAAAAGCATAGACACTTACCCAGGTCCCCGTCGCGCCTAAAACCTAGTACCCAATCTCGTTTCTAGCTCGCTGGATGGGCACTCTGATACGTATATATACTGTCATTAAGTTTCCTGCATGTTGCATTCGGTTTTCGTCCTCAACATTATCTTCCCACTGTATTTCACACATTACGCTTTTAACTCTCGTATGGCTAGGTAAAATAGACAAACTTAACTGAAAACAATACAAGCCCTGAAACTCGTTCCGCCGTGATAGACGGTTTTGTCATGCTCCAAGCTCGAGGTCACATTTCAATTTCAATTTTGATCAAACTGTAGAATTTTGGAATAACTCTTACACGCTGATTACGGTAAACTAGATTCTTGATCGAGACGAATATGCATATAAATACTCGTTTTCTTCGCACGGCTCACTACATATAGAGTACACTGAGGACAAAGTCGGATTTTGATCAGCAAAATCACAATCAAGTTGACTAGATATTATCATATTGGTAGAGTTGGCAGTGACATGCAATAACCAGGTATGTCGGATAACTGAAGGTTTACAAAAAAATGATATAATCAATGGGCTCCAGGTATTATTGCAAATACAATTACACCTACGAGTGAGGCGACGTTAGTGATGTCAAGAATTGCCAAGCGGAGCAGCTATGCTCACCAGCCATTGCCAGAATGCTTCCATCTTGTTCTTTGGTGGGGGTTCGTCATATGTATCCGCCGCAATTTCAGCTAGATCGCTCTTGAAGTCCATGTCCTCTGGAGCAACGGGCCTGGTGCCATAGTAGAAGCTAGCGCCAACGTACATTATTGGCCAGGTAATAAGAAGAATGTAGTTGGTGACGAAAGTTGCAGTATTCCAATTTCCTTTGAGGAAGACGCTCCATCCGCTGAACTAGAGAGTAAAGGAATGATCAGTCTAAACAGTATTAGCGAATATGAAAATTTGACATACGAAACAGACAGTGACCGTTGAGACAGCTCCCCACCACGCCGCGTATGGCTGGAGATTCGTGTAGTAAGGGAGCGACTTGCGATCTATGCCTTGGGCCTGCATGCCCTTGTAGAAGCGGAGGTACGTCACCGAAATAGCAAACCACGTCATAAGGCCAGCGACGGACGTCATGTTGGAGAACCAGAGAAACACTGTGCCCGCACCCTTGGACACAGCCATGAAGGCAAGAAGGGAGAAAGAGGCGCAGAAGAGAACAGCAATGTAAGGCAACCCGTTACGTGTGGTTTTAAGGAAGAATTTGGGAGCATTTCCTGAGGCTGCAAGACCATCTACGAAGTGCGTTAATTTCGGTAAGTTGGCTGCCAAAAAAAGTATACATACAAATCGCACGAGACGAGGTGTACAAGTCACTAGATGAAGCGGACCATGCCGAGGTCAACAAACAAGCATTGATAATCTGTTTTGAATAGCAATCAGAAATTTCTAGGTAAAAAAGGAAAGCCATGTGCTGCTTACTGAAGGAAGAGATTTAATTCCAGCTGTTTCGATAGCAAGGACGAATGGAGACTCGGCAGTTCCACTGTTCAATTTAAGAAATGGGTTGTTGGATGGTACAAGCAGACCAATGATAAGTGTTCCACCGATGTAGAAAAGTAATATACGGATGTATACTCGACGGATGGCTTTGGGCAAGGTACGACGAGGATTCTTCGCTTCTCCAGCAGCAATCTAGGTAAGATTCGTGAGCGATGGATTGACAAGCCTAGAATATAACGTACAGCAACAATCTCAGTTCCAATGAACGAGAAAGCAGCCTGCGATAAAACAGCCCAGAAGCCAAGGAATCGTCCTTTGGAACCTTCAATGCCATTATACTGAACGAATGGTCCAGGATTTTTCCAGTAGCGGAATCCAATGCGGTCATGGTCTGGGCCACCTCCCAAATCGATGACTATACCGAGAATAATAAGACCGGTGATTGTGAGGACTTTGATGGATCTGTAGTGATATCAGAATACGAGATCGGGATATAGTACTCGGTACGCACGCAAAGACGAATTCCGCCTCGCCGTAAGCGCCAGCACCAAGCATATTAATGGTGACAACGACGACAAGACACATGGCGACCCATACTGAGTCATTGACAGTTTGATTCCAATAGTTCATCAATAATGCAGCAGCAGATAGCTCGGCTGGGAGATAACAAATGTCAGCAGGCGCGCTAAGAAAATGCATTAAAGTTAAGTACCAGGTGCTAAAAAAAATAAGAGGTGAGTAATTGCGAGAAATGAAGGAGGAAGAATGGACATACAGACAATGGTCCAGCTATACCAGTAATTCCAACCCATGGCAAAAGAGAATGCAGGGTCAACGAAGCGCTCGGCCAGTTTGATGTGACCACCAGGTATAGGGAGGAAAGCAATCTACGGAAATGAAGATGAGGTATGTGATCTACGTCTGGGACGTGCAGCAAGCACACCATTTCTCCCAAAGTGATCATGACGGAATAGACGATGGAGCCCATGACCACGTAGCCGAGCAACAGACCAATGGGGCCACCATTCGCCAGAGAGTTTGCGGTTCCAACAAAAAGACCAGTACCGATGACACCACCAATACTTGAGGGAGGTGAGAATTGACCAGAAGAAAGAAGAAAAATGCAACAGACCTGATCATAGCGATGTGGCGATTCTTGAGTTTACGTTGGAGGGTGTGCCGCGGGGGGGCCTGCATAGACTCTCCTCCATCATGATCATGGTCTGAGGCGTCAGAGAATTCGCCTTTGCTGGCAGTAGGGTCTGTCTTTTCGGCACCCATATTGGCAAGCGCTCGCTTGCTCGAAGGTATGAGGAAAGAGATAAGAATTGAGGCCAAGCACGGCTGATAGATATATGAGCGTCTGGGGGGCCGTGGCAGTGAACTTCCTTACCGTACGGACATGAACGCCACGGTCTGATAAGTGACATACCCGAATTAACCGAGCGGGATTAGGTAGGTCAGGCACCGCATAGTAGTTACAACGATGCTCCTCCTACCGTAAATATGCTCAGGAAGTTGCTGGAAGGGGTATACTGTGCATCTACAGCTTGTACAGCATCAACGTTTGATAGGGTTATACAATAAGCCATAATAGCTATCAGAGCTTGCTGTATATTATCATTCAAACGCAAGTACTCGGAGGAGTAGCGCAATAAGGCGTCAGTGCAACGCAGCTGGCGACCTTACGAGTCGCATTAGTGGTTGCTATGTATCCGTGGAGGATAGCAGTCTTGACCTGAGCCTGAAGTACAGTGTATCTCCATAGTAGAAGTCACGGTGGCATTTCCATCAGAAAAACTTGAACAATTTCCCAGTAGTCGGATACTTACCATTGGGACTGTCGATAATCAAATTTGCTCTTGCCGGCTCATCATGATGATGTTGATCGACTATCCTACTACAGCAGACTACAGCTAGTGGTAATCGGATTTTACAAGGCAGTGACATGTGGCAAAGACTTGGCAAATGGCCCTATGTGCCGTTCGCACGACTGAGATCGATGGATCAGGTTGACGTCCATATGATGGTATGGAGGCCCGTGCGCGTGGAGACAGGTGGAGACTTGCCTATAATTATGATTTACGCAGCGGATCTTGCAGCAGCCCCTGCAGCCTGCGGAACTGTCACATGTTACACTTGACAATGAAAATTACCTTGCAGTGCCGTAGTATCGCAGGAAGAAATCAACCTCCTACAGCCTGCTGGTCTTGAGCATCAGACGTTCAAGGAAAGAATCGGGGGCATCGGGGCGAGCGAAGTTCCTATGACCTGTTTCAAGGCGAACAGCCTCAGACTACAGCACAAGGTACAAACTCGCCGAGATAGAATCCAAGTTAGCCCTAGCATGTGCTACTTGTGCCTGCGAATGGGTAATATTAGATGGCTCACTACCTGGGCAGATGAAGTTTAAAAGGCGCGGATGCAGACTGCTACTAGAGATTCTCATACTTACCTAGTACAGGCAAATTGACCACCAAGGGGTTTCGTCGGTCCAGGACTTAAGTCACGTAAGCCTTTGGTTAATTTTGGTCACGGCAACGGCCCCGCTTGAAGTCTGATCGTGAGTTATAATAGCCCGGTATGTGGGGACAGAGGATGAGAGTCGGCTTACATAATATGACCGCACCTCCCACGATCGACAGCGTTTGATTTACCCAAGTATGCATTGGCCAGTGCTAGTCATGATTCTCTTAACGAAGTACTTACTATATATGGTCCCCGCATAGCCAGCCAATGAAAATCGTTCATCGTTCACCCGGAAAGAGGTCGTTGTAATGATTTAGTCCCATTCAACAGAAGGGATTGTCTTAACAATGCAAGGTAATGATCGGAACTTATGAACAAATCCCAGGAAATCCCCTTTGACATTTACGCCATGGTACTACATGTCGACGGCTGAACTTTTTCCGGTGCTGAGCGCGTGTATACCAAGGTACGCCACTAGAAGTTTTCGCGTCACACGAGCAATTTTTGGAGTTGTATCTAGACTTTTAAATTGGTTCCGATAGGTTCCGACATGCTTATCGTTACGGGGCAATGTTTTCTCATTCGAACTAGTCTCCTATCAAAGGTATAGTATTCCTTCGTATTAAGAATTTGAATTAACAGATATTACACAGAAAGTCGAAGTCCGAAAAGCGGGAGTATGAATAAGGTAAACGCCACGAAATCGTTACAAGGTAATTTCAGTGCGACCAGCCCATCAAAGATCCCATCCAAACGGATAGACCACGCCACGATGGCGGAGTAAAATCGATGCCTGATGTAGGACGTGATCGTGAACGACGCCTAGCCAGACTACGGTCATGCAGAGGGTTGACCTTTGCTTTTTGGTTGCTCTCAAATGACCCAGGATCTGATGTGCGGAACAGGGGTATATGTGGGGGTGCTAGTTTGTGGGATGGGCCCTTGATCCGGGCTTTCTTGCGAGGCGGAGGAATAGTGCTGCCAGTATCAGCGACAGGCACCGCAGGATTGGGAGAATTCGTCGCAGGCAGGAAGTTCTGAACAGGGTCATCTTCTCTTCGTCGCTTTAGTACCCCTCGACGGGGAGCGAGTATGATGGCCTGTTTGCGGGTATCCTGCACGAGGTCGTATTCTGCCTGCTGCAATATCCTGGGTCCTTCTGGTATATCTTTGTGCTCGTTCATGTGGAGCAACGCAGAAAATGTCCCATCTCCTGCTTGCGTTGGGGTATCTGACAGTTTTGGGACATTTGCACAGGTCGCTATGTACGCGTTCTTCAGCTCCTTCAGGGTAAGATAGCGCTCTCGTTGACGTGACCTCTCTATATGGTGGACGTATGGCGAGTATCCCTCCCGATCCCGCTCCCGGAGTAAATTGCCTCGTGCTATGCCTCTACGTTTCTTGGCTAGCAAATGGTGACGAACCGCGTTTATGGGTGAAACCTCGCCCCTCTCCACTAGTTCAGCGTGGGGAAGCCCGGCTTCACGACAAAGTGCAATGTTTTGTTGCCGGATAAGTGCAGCGCTCAGCGAGAGAGGTCTAACACGGACGGGAGGGGGAGGAACTTCAGCATCGTCTGGGAGATCTGAATACCACATGTGTACATGATCACGAGAATTGACGAAGGGCATTGCTGGCAATGAATGAATAGTGGAGGAGACGCTAGCAGACGATGAGGATTCTATTTCACGACGAATGCGTTTTGAGGGTGGGGAATCGGATGAAGCAAGAGAGGCGTGGGGAGAGGGAGAGGGGCAAGATTCTCTATAACGTTTTCGTCCCGTCAATGAGGGTGACGATTCGTGAACTGCAGTCGGAGAAAGATCGATCGCGCGTGCCGACGTGATAGATGACGTCGATGGTCCCGCTTCAGACACTCCTGCGCTGCCCCCAATCGAAGGTAGTGGTTGAGAAAGCGCTTGGTCAGGACAGGATTCTGCCAGAGACTCGAGGAATGTCCGAATAGCAGCCTTCACCTGTTCTTTGCTCTGTCCAGGAACAACGACGCGTACTGGAGGAGCATCAGAATTCTTAATCCATGTATCCTGCAAGTCATGAGGGTGGACAGGCGGCACTATCTTTTCCTCCTCAGGCTCCTCCTCATAAGGTGGAATGTATCCAGTGCGAGCTCCTTGGGCTCGACGCTTCCACAACTCATCTCTCCGTTTATTTCGCTTAGTACGCTGTATGAAAGCTTCCGTCTTCTGGATTTCACTCGCCCGAGCACCGTGGAGGTCAAGCTTGAATGCAAGCAGGCGTTTCTCGAAGCGAAACTCTTCGTCCTCCGCTTTCTCTAAGCCCACAGATTCGTCGGGATTGGTACTTCGGCTCAGTTGGAAATCGATGAATGTAACAGCGCCATCCCCGCCGACAAGAACGTGACGAAGTTCAATATCTCCATGGAGGATACCTCGCGAATGGAGCATTTCAAGCCCTTGCATAGCACGCTCCTTGAGGACGTCGGGCATGGTAGGTGAGGCCTCCATCCAAAAACTTTGATGGGGTAATTCCATAGCAATGCTGATCGCGCCTGGCAGGATGTGGACACCGATGATGCGAGGAACAATGACGCCTTGGAGGGGCTTCAGGTATTGTTCTGAGTTGTAGAGAGTCATCTGAAAGACAGACGTTCAGTAGACGAATGACTTGCATTATGCGCACGAACCTCGGAATTAAAACCGATCCAATCCGCTTGCTTGTCCAGATTCCATCTATGTCATGTTGAGTCAATGATAACGATCACTTGGGACATTTGCTCACCGTCGGCTGATAAAAGTTATCTTTCGTCCGGCGATAACACCGGATTGTATATAGGCTGAGCACATCGAGCCCTCTAAACCATTGTAAGTAAGATGAACAAAGATGACTCCGCGACAAACGCACGCCGTAGGGATAACAATGTCTCTGTTTGTTGGATATCCTCACCAGCTGCCCATGCGCATGGGCCGTGTGGCACATATATTGGGATATCCTTAGCGAAGTTTTCATGGAATGAGGACTCGTGTTGCAAAGTAGAAGACCCCTCTTGTGGCGTTGAGTTCTCGTCCGTATCGCCCCAGTCTACCATTGCTGCACACCTCTGCACATCTTCTTGACGTGGGGTTGTACGCCGCCAAGGACTCAGGGAAGCTGGAGGACGGTAGGGCGCAGTAAGAATTTCAAAGAACTGCGAGGTGTGGTCTATGCCTGATGGCACGTTGTAATCGTGTGGAAAGATGGATGGTGCGGCATATGTAGGGAGTCCATTTACTGACTTCTCGTCATGGCAGCTTGAACTCGGAGGCGGTATCCGAGAGACTAGCATGGTTGGGTCCGCCTCCGACTGTGATGTTTGCTGTCGTGCTAAGGTCATGAGGAAGCGAGGGTAAACGCAAGCAGGGGAGCGGAATGATGATGCTGGAGGGTGTGATATGTGATTCGCATTGTCTAATTATGTTCTGTCCTTATAATCTGCCGTTGAAGTACAAGCGGCCACAGCGCAACTTAAGCGTGTGGACACGCTTCGACGGCATTGTTTGTGGTTTGACCATCCTCAACACCTTCCTTTTCCGGACAAGGCGATGTCCACCGTAGTGATTGCCTTGTTCTTCGTCGGAAGCAGACGGACGAAATACAGATTATGAACAAAACTACAGTGACTATAGGTACAAAATATACATACATGCCTATACAATTATTATCAATGAGGTACAAACCCGTAGAATAAAATTGCGTGCCATCCAGTACACTTGTGGGTGAACAAGTACACATACACCACAATGCTAGGTTTTGTGACAAAATACACACCATAATCTAGAGTCATGATGTGAACGCCCATCCGCCAGGCATACTTAATTCACGGGATTTTTTGGACATCAAGAAACGTTCAACGTTCGGGTCGTCCAAGGTCTTCAATTCATTCGTGGACATGGCAAGTGCCTGCGATGGCAGCCGCGGAAGAGAGTAAAACCGATGTGACCACGAATTGAGGTCCAGCGTCGATACAGGCGATGTTCGTCTTCTTCGGCACATGTGCTTTGGCACGTTCGTTAACTGTGGCGTCGGAAGGCACTGCTGAATGGAAATCGCGCAGTCCGTGGCAAAGCGCGTCGGGTGTTCCATTTGGAGTATGGGCGGCACAATCCAGAACGCCACAAACCCTTTCCCCATCCCCAACACGTAAGTCCAACCAACTACCCATCATCTCGTACTCATCCACTGACATCCCAGGAGACTCCCATGAAGTGTTAGAGGTGGTACGTCGTTCAGCTAGCCATGCAGCCAGGGTAACAGAATCTGATGATGCAAGACTACCCAACGAAACTCGTGAGGCAGGGGTATCTTTGGTTGGAGAGCCCGGGGAAACCGGGGATGAGTTCTTTGCAAACACCATGTAGTCACCAGCAGATGGGACCGGGTCGTCGCTGCGATTTATCATCTTTATATCTGAACGCCCGCGGGAGAGTTTCGGGACCTTGCCAATGCGCGAGACAACACTCTTGACACTCTTCAAGCCACTCTTAACCGATTTCTTGAAGCTCTTCCACGAACTGGAACGCTTTTCCACATTCGTCTGTGTTTCTGTGGTAGAATGCGAGCCCCATGGCTCAGGTGCGACAGCTCCACTACGTGAGTAAAGAGGTGAGATGGGTGATTCCGGCATCAATGGAGGAAGAATGCGATGTCCGTACGGCAGGTGGCCATGGAACATAAGGACTATTCGGGTGGTGGAAGGCGGGAACCCAATGCGGTCCTTCATACAGCTTTGTGTTCTTAGTTTTACGAACAACCACTCGGCGGGTGGATGAGACGTGGCTAGATGAATGGCGGAACAAGATATTGGCTGGGAGGGAGTGGGAAGTTTCGTTACGACATTGATTTGCAGGCAAAGGAGATGTTAACGAATGTGTGGTTGAAAAATTGAGAAAGGAAGGTAGCTGCAGCGTGGATGCAGATGGCAGAGGAGGAATGGGGCGAAATGACTCAATATTGCACCGTGAGCGGTTGATGCGAGTAACGGGTTGGTTAGGAGGAACAAGGTTCTGTTGCTCTTCGGGGGGTTTCTCAACAGCGACAGACTTTTCCAATGATTTACGCTGTATCTTTGAGGGAGCGTGGGGCAGCTGGATTGACTATTCAGTGGTATTAATAGGCCAGCCCGCGAGCAGGTTTTTTATTACATACAGCATGGTTTACCGCCGGTAGTGTCTTGTCCACAAGGGGTGGACGAAATGCCCGCTCAGCCTTGCGCTTTTTGACCTTCCTAACCTTAAGGTACGGCTCACCGTCGAGGGTACATGTTGATACCGCAGAAGCAATTTTAGAAGGAGCGCTGATCTTCAAGACCATTTCGTCGAGTCCAGCAAGACGCCCAGAATAGTGAAACATGAATGAATGAATGTCGAGTGGTAACGAGTGTTAGGATCAGAAGACTAGGCAAAAGAGAAACAAATGAGTGAGGGCGCTAACACTGTAATAGTAATTAATATCACAACATCCTTAGGCTGGGCGACATACTTAACAAAGAATACAAGCTAGAGCTAACCAAACAACACGTACACAAAAGAATATAGGAGACAAAAGGATGAAAATCAAAGTATACTATCTATGGAAATTATGTAACAATCGCTTCCCTTGTCATGAGAAGATCGCATTGTGAATGACAATGCGTCCTGTCAAATTCTGCTCACTCATTGTAAGGACTGAAGTATTGGGTGTGTGACATACGGAAGGACGGAATGGTTGCTTCCGCGGAAATAAACCATCTGACTCCCACTGTGGGTGAACTCCTCCCCGCTGGAAAACATCAAGTTTCCTCTGAGTTGTGCTTCCACGCCTATATATCTTTGATATTAATACTGCCGGGTCTTATTCCAGTTACACGCACCTCGAAGAAGCGACGTCTATCAGTCACACTTACGCTCCTACAACTTGTGAGGTTCAACGTTTGTAATTTTGGGCAGGTATCAATAACAGAAAAGAGACCAGCACCTGTAACACTTCAACCACAAGTCAAAACCCCAAGATAACACGTTCGCTTACTGCTTATTTTTGTACCCGCTAGTTCCAGTAGCACAAGATTTGAGCAACATGCCAAATAAGGCGCGGCGTCATCGTCCACACTGGTGTTGTTGAGAATGAGCTGTTCAAGTCTGGGTGGCTGATTTTCGGCATCTTGCGGCAAGAGCCCAGAAAGATGAAGGGACTGTAGGTGATGCACACCTGACAAGTTGAGGTACTGATACAGAACTTAGACATAGCTCAAAAAAAGCTATGGAACCAACCTTGCATTTCCTTCCAACGCATTGAATGAAGTACTCCAGGGCTCCACTGCGACGAGAAGTAGCCCCTAATTTTGTATTTCCGACCAAAGTGATCTTTTCGAGTTGCCCAAAGTCCTTCAACACATCTGTCAATGACTCCAGCGTCTGGTCCGTCATCGTCATCGCAGAGGTGTTCCCAATAGCCACCGAAGACCCTTGCCCACCCCCAAGGGCCCCAAGAGCCAGAGATTTGATGTGGGGAAGGCTAGAGATGAGCGCCACAACGTCAACGCTGGAAATTGCTGTAGATGTCAATGACAGCTTTTCAATTCTCGCCTCTGCTAACACGACCTGCAGTGGTCGGTGGACGTGCGTGAAGGAGAGGTCCAGCCGAGTGAGGTTCGGACAGCGGGCCAAAAAGGAATTAATTGAGCTTTCTGAAAGGCCTAATTGACGTAGTTTCAATGTTTGTATATTCTTCAGTATGAAATTCTCGCTTTGAAATACAGCAGAAGATAATTTGGCAAAAGTTGCATCGGTCTAGGCTACAATAAATCAACAGTTTAAAAAAGTTCAAGTTACTCACCCAGTTCGGTATCCCAGCAAGCTTTAGCACCTTCAGGTCAGGACAATTTTTCAGGAGTGGGACGAGTGCCATAGGCGGGACGGCGGTGTAATTAAAGTTCGCGGTAGAAAGCGAGGGGCAAGACCGTGCAGGCAGCTTCCGCAGTGGCGGACCCCACTTTGGCGCAGCCGCTGCAGAGAATCAGGGCCTCCCAACCGTAGTCGTGAATTACACTCACCGAAGAACCAATACTCTGAGGGACGGCATGGAAGACAGGACGGTTGCAAAGACAGAATCAGCAATTTTAACGAATCCTGTAAGGTGTAGTTCATGCACGATTTGCCAACTCCAGCAACAGCCAAAATTGTGATTTTGTTTACTGCTGGGACGTCACTGGTCAGTACGATCGACGGGCCTCGCAAAAAATACTAACAGAAGATGAGCAACATATCGGGGAGCAACGAATATGCATACGGAAGTTATCATTGCGTTGGTAAGTATTTGTGGACAAGAGGATCTCAACATAGCGAACAGTTTGGGCACCAGATTGTCAGGCATAAGTTTCAGCCACTTGAGCGTGATTTCCCAATCATCACGAGTTTCGTGTAGTGCCCTCAGATTTGCGACAAAGGAGCGCGCGCATAATACGGAAAGGTTAGGTACCGATCCGGTGGATGGCACAGAGCGAGTGGAAAGGGCAGATGCTGTGGTGAGGCTCAGAGACGATGCGAGATTGACCCGATCATCCTCGGTTTCTGCACCAAAGGTAGGGACTCCTCCCCTCCGTCGTTTCGCAAGTCGTTGGGAGGGTTCCGCTTTCCGTTTCGACATGAGAGTTGAAATTTCAAGCTCAAGCATAACTCGACATAGTACTAAAATGGTAACTCTTATCTCAACATATTCAGCCCTATTCGGGCACAGCCATTGACTCGAAATACTCACGGGACTCAACGTTTGAGCCATCGTGTTATCACACGAATATTTCATCTTGCCCGTTGTAATGTTGACGCGTTCATCTGACAGCAGTAATCTAAATATTACGGGGTTCTTCTTCTACTTATGAATGGTAGAGTACATCATGTTAACCTTGAATGGAACGTGTATCCAGTGATGAATTTCATCCCGGGTTCGGCCAATTTATATTCTCACTTTGTTGTCGCATATGTGTGATGTCGATGTATTGGCCGGGGTACGGTTCTTCGCCTAGTAAAAATGTTTCAGAAGACGAACGAAAGGACTGGCGGCGAGCCACTCACTCCGATCGATGAGGTTGACTTCCAGTTCTTCGTCATCATCGTCATCCTCCTCATCTGATGCCCAACGGTCTTCTGCGGCTGCCCTGGGATTTGCGGCACGATCAACGGCAAGATCTTTCATGAGGCGATTTATTGAGTCCTGTTTTACATTCTGCAGTGATTTTTCCCGTGCCGCGCGCGCGCGCTCGAGTTCTGGGAGATATTCACTGCGGAGACGGCAAGAAAATAAGGAGAAAAGTAATAATAATGAAGGTAAAACGTACGTCCTATATGTCTCACGAGACTCCTCCACCGCATCGAAAAATTCCTTGATGCCGGCACCTGTCGTACTTGAGACGCCGACAGCCTGTAATACAGTCAGCTATACTTTCTACAGAATGACGTAGTACACTTACCTTGAGGTGCTTGTAAAATTCATCCAACACCAGACTCATGCTATTCATCAAGCTGTTCATATAGGTTGGTTCGCCTTCAGAGTCCCTCGATCCTGAATGGGACGCAAGAGCGACTTGGAATGACTCAAAATCTTGCATCCATTCGAGAGCGAAATCGTGGGGTTGCGCGTCAGTCTTGTTAAAGACAAGGATGAATGGTAATTTTGTCTTATACATGACACTAATAAAGCGTCACAGATTGTTGAACCGCTAGATGATGCAGTACTCACCTGCAGGCATACAGCATGTTGGACATGAATGTCGCGGGAGCTGTTGTCCGTGGGGTGTCAATGATGTACGCTACCACGGTGGGGAACGAGGAAGCAACGGCATCTGTGATGATGGCACCAGATGCTGACCAGGTAAAAATCTCAATTTGCCCTGGAGTGTCAAGAATTATGTGACTAGCGTGGGTGCACGAGAAGAAGTAAGATTGAATGCAGAATGAAAATAACAAGCACGTACTCGACTGTCTCAGCCCTTTTCTCGACCAAGTCCATAACTTGGTCAAATTTTGTCGTAAAAAGATTCAAGGCAGTCAAGATACCACCGTTCGGTCCCAGATTATACCTTGTGTCACAATGATCCATTCCGTTATTCATGCACTATCGTCCAGATGGAAAAAGTAACGCACTGTTTCATGACCTCTTTATAATTAACAGTATCCCGATATCAATGTTGGCTTCGAATGGCACATGAGTAACCGCTGGGTCGAGGTTTAGGATATATGGCGGTTGTGGAGTATTTTGCGAGTGGAGGTAGGAGTTGATGCGCTGCACGAAGGTGGACTTGCCAGCACCTGCCATCCCGATCGTGATGATGACATGTGGCTTTCTTTTTGAACTTATGTCCGGTTGACTGTTCGAAGATGCGCTCATGCTGGTGAAAGGGGAGGCTTCCTAGGCAGACCAAATCGAATGAAGACATGCAGAAAAACACCGATGTCATTGATGTACCTCTTCGTGAAATCAGATAACTGTTCAACGTTGAAACGTTGAGTCGTCTGAGCCGCGTTACTTCCGATTTGAGTAATTGTCCCATAAATAGTATAGACTACACTAGTCTATGTACCTAAGTAGCGCCAGTGTCTGTCTGTGGAAGTACAATCCAAATACCAGGATCTAATAATACCCGACACACGAGTGCAATCACGCTAGGCCACAAAGCCAGAAACCAGAAATAACAGCTCCAATTGATCCTACAATGACTCTCCATAGCACCCTCTCGATTGACTTTATGTACGGTGTCACTGGATGCCCCAACCCAGAGAAGATCATGCAAGGCACTCGCACAACAAGTTGGAGCAAGTTGAATGGAACCGGAAAGTAATAAGGTTCATACTGGACAAGAGCTGCCACAAATGACCTTCGTGCGTGCAACCCGATTTCTCGTGAGTAGCGATCCCATCTACTTGTTGAGGTTGTTGATGATGCCAAGGTTGGGAACATCGCCAAGGCCACGCCGAGTCCACCCAGTAGTAACATAATGACAGTAATGAAGAGGATGAAGAATGACAATCGGCTATCCATCGGAGTTACTTCCAGAGAATTTGTTAACACTAACAGGGGATTGTCAACGAGCGAGGCGGATACGAGAAATGTCGCGAGTAATAGGACCGGAAAGAAAAAGAGGGTGACCGGTATGACGATGCGAGTTGCTCCATGCGAAAGCAACGTAGAGAGGGGTATGGCGCTCTCGGGTTTCATTGCGGCGGGTAAGCTGGGAGAGTCGGGGAGGTGAAGAAGAACCACCTGGAGTAGGAGGGCAATGTGAAGCACAGAGAATGAGACATTTCCAGGTATAGGGACGGATGGAAGAGTCATGACGAATGCGGGGAATACAAGCATAGCTGGTAGAGTATGTATTGACCACCGTCGAGCGATGGATGCAGCAGACATGAAAGTGAGAATCATCTCTCGAGTGCCTTGCTCATTTTGTCCCAGGGTTATGTGGAAGTGTGGTGGATATAGCAAGTAGTGAATAAGTGAACCCATAAAGACCAGTCGGCCCAAAACGTCAATGAAATGCAGAACTCTGTAAATGGTGTGAGGATCATATATCGAGATTCGTATCTGCGGCCACGCACCTGGGTGTCGAAAGAGCGTCAAAGTGTCCTATTAAGCTTAAGCCGTGATCCTGCGCGGATCCGGCTTTCATCCCATACTTCCAACACTTGATGACTACGGCTTCTACGATGGGGTGTGTGAGAAGCTCCGGAGGAGTGTGGTCCTCCGTCAACATATCAATTACTGCTCAACCATGAATTGTGAATCAATCATTCGAAATATTGCGCTCACCTCTTGTAGTTGTAGGCCCCGTATCTTCCAGCGGGAAGGTTGTCCAAAATATAGTTTGGATGGTAGAAGAGCTACTGTGATTCAGGAGGAATTGGTTCAACATCTCACAAGCACGTTGACCAGTGTCCTCAGCGACAGCCGAGGCGACTCTGGCATGTTGCCATTTTCCCCAGATATCTGAAGAGTCATTCAAGACATTGTACTGTGATTCATTATAATGTAGTTGGACGAGCAACAAAAATGCAATCCGTTCTGCATCAGATGAAAACCTATATTGCGAAGCCAGGGTATCATCGGCATTCGAGCCTCCCAACCGGTACCGACGCACCACAGGAAGTACAGCAGGACGCTCCGTGAGGCCAGGTGACACTGATAGCAGAGGAGTAGCTTCGTCGACCTGCAGTGTTTCGTTCATGAATCTTGGTAGTGGTGCCGGTAACTGAACACGCTGTTGTGAACAAACACAACCATACCCTAGGTACTGTCAGGGACATGATCATGTAGATCGTCAAACCACGCCTCCTCTTGAACTTCACCAACAATGAGCACGAACACACCGTTGTTAGAGACCATTGAACCCGATGATCCTTCGACGGCGCATGCTCCGTCTAGAAACACTACGTCCAATACTCGGCCTGCAGTAGTATTGACACCTAATAATATGGCTTCTGCTCCAGCTGATGCAGAATCAGGTTTGCACGTCTATAACATACTATTTTATTGTCTTTAATAACGACCCACAGGCATTGCTGGTATATTTAGACAGGTCGGAATCCAAAGCAACGTGTTGACTCAGACTGATTCTCAACTGCACTCAGTCTGCACATCCTGCAGCTTTGTTTTGCCTCTATTTCTTCAGGACATCCGCCATCGCCGTGTACATTTTATGTGGACTGTTGACAGACAATTATGTCCTTTCTGTAAGTGTCAGACCTTTTGAATGTCTCTCGTTCCTCATCGTTGCGCGTAGACGGTGGTGGTAGTTGTCTTACTTGCAATGGACTTCTGGAATTGTAGAGTAAGCTTCTGCGACGCTCATTCCCTGACAACTGACTAAGGTGTGTAAAGAACGTTGCGGGACGTACCCTTGTTGGCCTGCGTTTCTGGAACCAGGTGGACGACGATGGGGAGAGCTATTGGGTATTCGAGAGCAGAGACGTACGAGAGATTTTATATACTTTCTGCTGCTAACTGTCTCATTCCTCGCTGCTAGCCATCAAGACCAGCAAATCCAGTGGATGCTAAGTGCGTATCACTTTCATCAGCAATTGTCGAGTTTACCCTAACCGCGGTTCGAATAGGATGTTCTGGGTAAGTCAGAACTTTTGATCTTCAAACTCATCACCTGCACATACAACCTTGCAGATAGCTCTTTACGTGTTTTCAGCACTCTGGTTGTTGCTCTTTATAGTCTCCATTCTCCATTTCAGCCTCTCGTGAGTAGGCAAGAAGTGTGCCACTCGGCTCGTTGCTTATCGCCTGGCCAGGTTTATACCCATTGTGGCTCTAGCGCTTGTCTTCAATTTTACCAATGCCGTTGGATTCACATATGCGTCAGTCTTATTCTTTTTTTGCGTTGCTCGATGCTCAGAAACGTCACTTTCAGAGACAGGGATGCAAAACAAAGATGGGCCAATAGTATTGCGTCTTCCGGATGGAATATGGGAATGGGGGGAATAGGTGGGCAGATCCTGAGCAGCGCCATGAAGAACAGTGTCGGGAGATTGTTCGGATGAATGGATGATTGAAGGTTCATTCATCATACTTGATTCCAAAGGCCAGTTGTGATATAGCTAATGTTACACAAGTGCGAAAGTTGCAATAATAAATGCTGACAGTCCAAATGAAAACAATGGACATGAAGATGAAAACAATGAACACGAAGATGAAAACAGCTTGAAGGACAAACACGAAATGCGAAATGCGAATAACGGCCTACGTAACAAATCAAGATGGGTGATACAACATGAGTCATTTATGCCTTTCTGCCAACACATTCGCGTATGAAAGGAAACGGCACGGTTGTAAGGTCGCAGATCAGTGTCGTTTACTCCAATCCAACCCAACCTCGCGCATCGACACGAGAATATGCCGTTGTCGGTGCCACCGAAGTCCCGACGCCAATGAAAGACCTCAAACGACCATGAGAACGAGAGGTGGATACTCGAGGGGTGTGCTGTGATGGGAATGGGTAGGCGGTGTTCTGTACGTTGGATGTTACAGTCATAGTAGATGGCGTGCGCAATGCAGTCGTGAGAGTCTTGGGTGAAGGTGGGAAGACGAACAGAGTCTGAGAGGGCGTCGCAGCAATGAGTTGTCGTGATGGGGTAGTTTTGGGGGGAAATACAAATTGACTGGCGTTTCCGCGGAGCTTGAGCGGGGGCGGCGCTGGTTTACGGGCCGGCGTCCGGCGACGGGTACGAGGTGTCTCTTGACTGTCTTGCACAGCGATAGGTGTGATGGGGGAAGGGGGTACCGGGGGTAGTATGCCCAACGGTGGCGGTCGCCGCTTGCCCTTGCCCGCAGGGAAGTTGAAAGTCGATTGCACTGCCGTGCCGGGGGGTTGATGGATATTGAATGTAAGTTTCGTTGCAGGTGCCGAAGGCACAGGATCAAACGATTTGCTTCGTAAGGGTGGGCGATGGAGTGGAGCTTTACAAGACGAAGGTTGAGTACTAGGTTCGCTTGTGCCAGGCGATTCACTGGATAATGACAAACACGGACTTCTTCGAGGTTCGGTGGCTTCATCGAAGCCTCCACCAATTCCTAATAGCTCTTGTTCCTCGTCCGCTTCAACCAAATCCTCGCTCAGGACGCTGCCGGTAGTATGGATGCTGGCAACTGAGCCAGTTCGCTTGCGCCCATATCGGCTGCGCCACGCCGGACCCATGCCCACCCCCGATGAGGAAGCAACAGAGGATACCGAAGGTTTCCTTGCGATTATGCGTTCTTCCATAGCCCGGTCGAGGTCTTTAGCCTCCTGTTGGATAGCATCGTCTCTGTCATCCGATTCATCATTACCGTACGCGTTACGGCGGCGACCCCCACTCCTTTTCTTCGTCACTGATGAAGGAAGACTTGTCTGATTCGGCGGGCGAGGGACCGCCGCCTTTGAGGGCCTTTTCATATTCCAATAATTGGTAAATGAGACTAAAATTAAAACCGCATTGAAATCGAAGACGAAGTGGCGAGAATCGAGGCTTGCTTACGACATATTTGGACCAACATGCTTACTTTTCTCTTTTACAAATGAGTATGCTGCTTGCATGCCTTTCAGCTGCCACACCTCAGGGGGTACGTTAGGTAAACACATGGCAGCGGCGCGCATGACAAGAGCGATGGCCATTGTAGCTGAGCGGGAGATGCCGCACTGGCAACTGCACATAACATGAGGGTTATAGATCCAACAGCATCTACGAAACTACGCACTGGATGAGCACGCCTTCATGACGACCGAGTGCAGCATCTACAAAAGTCATAGCTGTAGGAAATCCTTCATGAACGAGATCTGCCTGTCCGTGAGACCAAGGCAACTTCAAGTAATGCATGCCTGGACGCCCAGAGGGAATATGGGCAGGGTAATATGTGGAGGTCGTGGATTGCATCGCCTTGGATGCTTTGGAACTGAGATTGGGAGTAGATGCGAAGGGTCGCAGGGGTTGCGCAGCAGAAGAATCAAAAGGTGACGTGACTTCCTTTGCAACGTTGAGGATCGCTTTGATCCGGCGCTCCAGGAGGCCTTGCCAATCTCGCGCGTTGTCCTCAGAACCAAGCCAGATTCCGGGAAGAATTTGAATGGGACCATTCACATATGGTGCGGTGGGAGAACCATCTTCATCCGTTCGATGAAGAACAGTAGCGATACCAGTACTTGGCAAGGAGAGCACGGACGGCCGTCTCGGACGAATAGGTTGGTAGAGGTCTTGCTGTGTGTCAATAGTACTCAGGGAATCTGAGAGCGGTGAGACGAGAGAATTCGAGGAAGATTGAGCCGATGAAAGATTAATTGAAAGATTTTTCATGTTTCTGAGTGACCTTGGTTTTTTGTGTGCAAGAAGCTGAGGGCTCGATGCGGAATCGGAAGCGGAAGAAGAGGGAACAGATGGAGAGCTGGCCTCGTCCGTTGCGAGGACTATAAGGGGACTGTGTTCAGCAGGAGTGTCAATGCGGAGGGCTGTGGGGGGACATCTTTTGCGTGTGGCCATAGATGGCGCCTGGACCGACTGCGGTAAATATTGATTTTCGGTAGATTGCATGACAGGAGTCATAGATATGAATTACACGACCAGCGTGTCACCTTGCCTGCAGGTGATAAGATTGATCAAGTTGGAGTCAAAAAAGATCTCCGTTATTCTTGAACACAAGGCTCAAGCGCTACGAAAATATAAAAATTCAGTAAAACACAAAGATGAACAGAAATAAAGAAAATAAGAAAACCGTCGGATGCCAGGAGAGAGTAACTAGTACAAGAAGAAAGCAGTGACTTAGTATTCACTTACATAATCATAATAATCATAACTCTTTGTACTTGTGTGTACATTTTAATGGTGGTCGCAGTGTTCACAGCCCATCACTAAGTGTGGGGAACGTGGTATCCTCCTTTCCGATCGCTTATGCATTTAATCCGGACCCGCTACTTTCATTTTACCAGATAACGTCGGCGGACGTTCAACGTTCATGTATTTCAGTTCCGATACTCCAAATGAGTCGTGTTCGGAACTTCAGAACACGCAGACCAAGTCTTCTCCAACTCCATTGCTGCGACAAGCTAGCTCTCACCTGAGCTCCACGCATCCTTTCGAAGCTCGTAAAGTCCGTCAGTACTGCGGCGTATCGATCCGATCTTATTGGCAATATACAAGATGCGTTATCACCCAATCTGCTTTCTTCAGCTCAAAACCGATTGACGCCCCCGATGAATACCTAAAATGGAACAGTCCATCTCCTCCCCAACCGTCAACATCGCCCCCAGTCGAGCAGTGTTAATAGCAGAGCGGTACTACTCACTCGGCTACTAAATGTCTCAATTGAATCAATAATCTAACTTTCAACTCCATAGTTATTCTAGGTTAGGTTATTCGAATCATGGGAAATGACCGAGATCTTTGTAGTCACGTCTGTCAACTATGTCACTAGCGGAGCCCGCCTGTGGCCTCAGACGGTAGTACTCAGCTAAGGGTTGCTATTCACATGGCCCTTATCCGAGCCCGAGCGGTACAGGATTATCACCACATCCTGGGCAGTGGCGTGGATTTCTGACACTTCGCTTCTCCTTAACTGGCCGCAGGACCCACTGCAGATAAAGGATCATCAATATCATGAAGCCTATCTTGACGAGAGCCGGCTATTTCACAGAGCACGCCATTTTTGGTGTTATTTGAAGGGGCTCGAAAAGACTCGAAACTTACACCGTCAACTTTCTCTTCAGACCACTTCCGTGCCAACCGTTCAAGTCGGCTGCCATGTCAACTCTAGTCCTCGGACCTGTATGACAATCCTGGCATATCCCTCTCGAGTTCAAAACAATCATTAAGTTATTACCCTGTGCCCAGGAGTTCTTGACACACACCGCTCGCTTACTCTAACTGAATCCCAAGTTCGTTCGGACCACACTCGATTCACTCAAAGTTTCACCAGCATACTAAGTAATATCATAAATGCTTTCCCTAGTGCTCGAAGATAATGCGTGGCAGATGCTGACAGGTATTGAATATTGCCATGCCATTGAATGACCTGCTAGTATCTTCAAGGCTTAGTTCACTATTGATGTGAGACTCGGGTGGGTAGCTTGTGCGCAGAGGAACCACCTGAATATAGGCCCAGTACAAGTCTGGTTAGCCGTTTCCTGAGCACCATACCTATGTGCTATAATCATGATGAAACAACTTGAAAGTAGACACTGAGAGTCGGGAGTCGGAAGTTTGTACGTATTGTCTCAAAAGTCGTACGTGGTGACTGACGTGGTGCTTATGAAAGCTTGACATGAACTGCCAGCAAGCTCTATTCGCCGTCTCTTTCCTTTCGACGTTGGCTGTCCTTGTATTTAGCTTTCATTGGTTGCGAGCAAAGCTAAGAGAGGCTGGTTACGACGTCTCACGACTTATACTTATAGGATTAGAACCAAAAATCGATACCACCCAATTCCCTGACCGATACCAGCAACACTCTAATGGCATTCGGTATCGACAGTTCGTATACACAAGTGATCGCTTTGGCACTGGCGGTGGCCAGCAGCGTGTTCATCTTCGTCAAGTTCGGCTCTTCGTCGAGTGCGTTCGTGGTCTGAATGGCCGTTTCATACTCTTCGGCACGTCTTTCCGCTAATGCGTTTCTAATGTAGAACGAAAGCCAGTACTAAACCCCCAGGTTTGGCAAGAGTTCTCACTCAAGGAAAAGATCGTCATATCGCCCAATACCGCCATGTGCGTTCAATTGCGTGTCCTTCATGATAACCATTGAATGACCGCTGTGGCCGCTTAGCTACCGGTTTGCCCTGCCTCACCCGCAGGACGTCCTTGGCCTGCCCATTGGGCAGCACATTTCGGTCTCTACAGAGATCAATGGAAAGGACGTCATGCGTAGCTATACCCCAACTAGCAGTGATGACGACCTCGGCCACTTTGACCTTCTCATCAAAGTAAGTCGCCGTTTCCACTTAGGACTTGACCAACCATTCTTATTGGGGCTGCAGTCATATGAGAAGGGCAACATTTCGCGCTACGTCTCTCTTCTTAAGATTGGCGACAAGGTCCGCATTCGTGGTCCGAAGGGTGCTTTCAAGTATACCCCCACCCTGTCTCGCGAGATCGGTATGATTGCGGGTGGTACCGGCATTACTCCCATGCTGCAAATCATCCGTGCTGCCTTGAAGAACTCCGAAGACAAGACGAAGCTCAACCTCATCTACGCCAATGTCAATTTTGAGGACATTCTTCTTAAGAAGGAGCTCGATGATCTCGCTGCAGCCCACCCCAAGCGATTCCAGGTTTACTATGTACTCAACAATCCTCCGCAGGGTTGGAATGGTGGTACGGGTTTTGTAACCAAGGACCAGATCGAAAAACACATGCCTTCATCAAATCACGATATCAAGGTTCTTATGTGCGGTCAGTCAGGTGTTCGTTCTTTACACGTTACAAGTAGCTGATGATTCTCACGCAGGTCCACCACCGATGATCACTGCCATGAAGTAAGTGGAATTGGTATTTGAATTTGGGCAACACATTAACAAATGCTTTATAGAAAACATCTTGCGGAGCTCAATTACCCTGCTCCTCGCACAATCAGCAAATTGGAAGACCAGGTAATTAAGCCACTCTCAAACGCCGATGTTCGATCTGCTAACGTCACTTTACAGATTTTTGCTTTCTAAATACATATTGGTTTGGCTCGAGTAGAGTTGGCAATGTAATCGAACTAATACAATTGGCATTTGGTTTTATACCTAGCGGGACGTGGATTGAAGCGCGGTTTAGGAGCAAACACTTCATCTGCCGAAAGGCACAGTCCGTGACTACTGCGTAACCACAGAGGACATCGGCCTGAATTTGAATATGTTCTAATCTCCTGTGTCCTAACGAGTTCAGGTAGCTACAGGTGAAGTAGCTCGGAGGCTCCAGACGACGGTCGGTTTTGCAGTAAGAATTTGGAATAGCCAGACTACATGACACTCCGAGCTGAGGCGAAACCACGTAGCACATGGTGCAGCATAACCCAAGCCTACCCCCTTAATACCCTAGCCTGTCAGCGCCAGTGCTCAGCGCGCAGCTCCAACAGTGCTTCGGCCAGAGCCCCTTACAGAGCTCGTGAATCCTAATCACTACTGTAACTTGTTGCTCCCCTGTCTGTTACGTTTCAGGCTGACCAACTAGGCGGTGTCATGAGACCGTCCCTTGAGTCCGCCAGCATCCTCAGTACCCGACTCTCTCATACTATTCTAATATTTACATTTTACATTGCCAGATGTCCAAACCCATCCTCTACACATTCGGTCCTTCCATCTGGGCTGCCGTACCAGAGCTTGCCTTGTGAGCTTCAGCTTTCCTGATGTGACATGTCCAAGCAACGCTAATGCCATCCTAGGATCGAATTGGGATATGCTCGAGATGATATCGAGAAGAAGGCCGTGAACCTCGCGGAGGGCGAGAATTTCGCTCCTGCCTTCCTGAAGATCGCAAGTTTTCATCCTATGGAAATATTGACCGCTTACCACTTTACCAGAATCCCCAAGGGACATTACCAACCCTTGAAGCCGGAGGAAAGGCATACCTCAGTACTGCTGAGGTGACATCGTACCTTGTGGCCCATGCTAGTAACCGTGTCGCCGTTGCCCCCGGAACTGACTTCATCAGCAAAATTCATGAAGAGCAGTACGACCCAAATTTCCCCATGCTGTCAGCTGTAAGATGCATTGCAAGTAAATAGAATATGCCTCATTGACAAATTTGATTTCAGCGTGACGAGGACGAACTACGAAGTAAAGCGTCTGGATTTTCTATGATGTTCATCCAGAACCGTGAGTACCGCAGCGCTACCCCTGTATCTACTAATAACCCACCTCATCTGTTCTAGGTCAGGACGCATTGGCAAAGCACTCAGGAGCCTCCCAGAGCGCTAACCACCGAGAGTTTTATGACGCAAAGATCGCTGAGAACGGCAGGGTTCTATCGATCTACCAAGCCAAGGCACCAGAGAACGTCAAGAACAGCTTCTTTGAGTATTCTAGGGCCCACTGGGACACCTTGAAGGCCTTCATTCTGGAAGAACTCCCTGACGTTCTTCCGGAGAGCGGCTTCCTTGGAGGTGACAAACCTGGTGAAGATGATTTCCATCTTGCAGCCTGGCTAGCGCGCATTGTCTTCGTTGCTGGTGGAGGGGACTCAGAGAAAGACGGTGTGCGTGCTATTGAGAAGGAGCTGGGTAGGCCAACTCCGGAAAAAGTCGAGTCATACTGGACAGCATGGAGTGGGCGGAAGAGTTGGCAAGAGGTGTATGCCAATGGACTGCATTAAATGCGTATCGATCATGAATCGATGTAGTCACGAGAAATTGTATACATTATTCTATATATATTACTTGCAGAGGAGTAATCTTTGATCGATGGGTAGAAATCTCACTATATGCAGCGGTGAGCTCAACCGCGCTTTGCATTTACTGTCATGCTGCCATGAAACATGATCATCATTTACGCGGAAATTTACCAACAGCACACAGGTATATGATGGAAACGAGCATCAGTGATACTGCGAAGAATCGCAACTACATGGTAAAGCTCGCTATGACACTTCTCACCTAGGAGACCATACTAAGCATTCAAAAAATGGGTGATACATGAGATGACATCGAAGATACATTACTACTGTGGCCTGCCTGCACCATTTAGGTATGTCTTTCGTCGATGGCGACTACCCTGCGAAGGTTTATTACGGTTTGGATAAATTAGGTGGCAGATGGATAGACTTGGAAGTACTTGTACTTGCATACATGCTATTTAGATACGGCAGATGTTATGGAAATATCCAGCGCCGGACGACCCATATAAAGATAGGGAGTTCGCGGATGTGGACCGACTCTAGATGTCATCTAGGACGTGGCCTTCATGACATCACGCTCTTCATTTGCATCCGGGAGTCTTCCAGCATCTCCGACCTGCACTCCCGCAACCTGTTTGCGACGATCGGTATAGCGTTTTTAGACAAACACTGGATGACACGCACATCTGTAGAATGGAAGTAACAGCATCCATTCCCCGCTGGTATTCTTCTTCCGTTGGTTCTCTATCCACCGTTCGCGCAAGTTGTATGGCTGAATCGTAATAATGTAATTCCGAGAGGCCTTCTTCATCCTTTGGCAGGAGTGGCAGAAGAAACCTGAAATGATGTAGCATGCGTGCATGGGGTTTCAAATTTGGATGACTGGGTATAACGAGACGTGTTCGGGCGTCTGACCAAATCAAAACCACATAATGTGCGGAAGTAGTGTTGCTCACCAATTTCCGCGATCGTATCAAGGAGAGCACGTCTAAAACGAATACCGCTGAGTCTAGTGCCTGCCGTGCGTTTTGAAACCCGTGATAAGAACAACCTGATCCCATGCTTACCTGGTCTACCCCACCCACTATGAACTGTGTTGCGTGGCTGTGATTCATATGACACCAAGCAAGAACGCGCAAATTCTTGTGAAATATATTCATGAACGGGCTTACGGATATTTAGAGCACATGCCTACATCTGAAAATTAAATATGACGCACCTGAGGAACTTCCCTCCTAACGATCGAATGGTGCGTCTTCGCAATCCTCTGCAATCGGCGACGTACTGCAATTCGCCGTTTCACACAGAGGGCGATGGATATGATGCACTACAAATAATTAAACGGTGCCATCACGAGAAGCCACCTACATTTCGCAAATAAAGCTTACCACAAGCAGGTATGTTACTGCAATGACCACAGCATCCCAGTTGTTTGTCCAAGACCTGATAGGTGAAGTTCGGACGGCCTGTGACAACAACAAGGCACCTGATATGGCAAAGAAACAACCAGTAACGAGAACAAGGAGCGCGTAACAGATATCAGAGACCCAAGCCTGTGCTCGAAGTGATAGTTTTCGCATTCAAAGACATGTACACTCGTAGTGTCAGTCACGGTATTGCACCATTGCTTTGTATTACGTAAAAATGCGGTTCAATTCTCGAGTTATGGCTTACTATTACTTTGGACGTTGTTGGAACTTACATGACGACTTCTACGGAACCGCCTTACTATCTCTTGGTATCTCATTCGTCTCTTCAGCACAGCTCAGGTCTTAGTTCCAACTCCCTCGCCCATGCAAGCGTAGAATATCGCTATGCGGACGACTCGCCTTTGGTGCTGTTGTCGCGTCATCCTGACGAGCATGTTCTTGTGTTAAATCATGATCCGGCGAAAGGAGACATACCAACGGTCCAGAGCACTTCTAGTCATATGGCTGTGACAGGCATCAAGGTGTCTGTGGCACCTGGCGCTAGCGTCAACGAGGACCACAGCACGAACGATAATATGTATGTTCTAGAAGTTGTATCCACTTCTGACGACCAGTAAGTGGTTCCTTTTTTGCCAGTCGACTTGATGAGACCTCAGTTTTTCTCCTCAGCTTGAGCATGGAGTCATCCCATGTCTACTTGCAGAATCCCCAAGCAATAGTTGCTCGGTTCAAACAGAGGTCTGCTCAGTTTAATTGTCAAGTCTCTGGCTCTATAATCTCCACAGAAATACGGTGCTTCGTTGCGTCTTCGATTACCCTGGAATTGGAAAGACCGGTGGTATCCTACCATCTCGGTCTAGCTCACAGCCCAGGTCACCAGGTCGCTCGACATAGTTTCACGCATGTAATACATCATATCCCAACCACAGCTACTTTTCTCCCACTATGAGAGAAATGCAGGAGTGTATATCATCGGCGTTTATTGCCTTTACCACCTTTCCGTTGTTGAAGCGTTGAAGGGCCTGTATTGGACTTTGCGACGGGCGTGCTTGCTTTAGTTTCCTCGCCAGAAGAGAGAAGAGCAGATAGCCTATTGTAGATAGGCATGTCAACTCATGGATTGCATATAATGGATACGTACCTTCTGGGATCGTCACTCTGGATGGACTTCTCTATACTCGCAGCCTTCCCTTGTTGTCCTTTCAGTCCGTCGAGCGTTTCTGGGTCCAATTGTTTCTGCACGAGCATGAGACCAAAAATCAAACCATAAACACGTCAAGCTCACTATGATATAGGGCATTGCAAGCATCAACACGCCAGTCAATGCCATGATCATCATCATTGGGCTCTGGAACATCCCCAGGAGATTGAAGGATTCACGAGGCGAGAAGTATCTATTCTTGTGACGGGGGGTCAGCACAATTGGATAGGGAAGGCTAAAGGAGGTTGTCGTAAGGAGAGGAGTGCCGAATATGTAAGGTCGGACTTCTGGCAGGGGCTCGGAAGGAGAGACATCTACTCGAACCTAGGTGGGTCTAATGAGCGCTGCACGAAACCGTAGAGGGAGGGCTTACGTGGTCAAACGAATAATCATGGGATAGTACGGAGAGAACATATGTCCCTGGGGGAACATCTAATCTGCGCAAGTTCGAGGTGGGAACATGCTCTAGTGAAACGTAGCCTTACATTGAAAAGTTTCCATTCCGTGTTACGCGACCTGACATCTTTCCTGCATCGAGAAGGACCTTGGCGGATGCGAGCGCCCCATAGTCTAGTTACTGCGATGTGAAGTGCTTGACACGTAGTCCGTACGGAGGACTCACTAGGACATAGGTTATTCCATTGTATGTACCCGTGCAACTCCACGGCAAAGATGACACTGGAGAAAACAATAAGACAACTGATAGAGAGAAGGCTATTGGACTTGCCTTGACCACGAGAGGAGGAAGCCCAACAACGAAAGGGTGTGCACCATCTTCATTACTAGTATGGACGCGTCAAACGCTTGCGGCTGTGAGTCGTCGGAAGCCTTTGGACAACAACACCAAATAACGAATCAAAGTGCAATATGGTGCAATGTATGGCATACTGCTTCCTCTACTTGCAACAGCAGATCGACCAACGATGCGTCAAAAGCGGGCGAAGACATACCGCAAACTAATGCATCTGTATTCCATGTCTTTTGGATTCAGACAGCCTTACCAGATTCTCGGTATGTCCATAGTGCGACAAACGATTGCACCACCCTAAGTCCTTCCACAGTAGACTCAGAAATGTGCCAAATAGCTATGGATGCCAAGCTGGATCTCATCAAACAGTTTTCTACCGTACTCCAGGGAAATGTGAAGCCAAGTGAGTCTTCCCGCACGCCCGCAATGTCGTTTGCTAAACGTCTGACAAGTATGTTTTCAGTGATCACGCAATGCTGTATGCACGAGCTGTATCTCCAAGGAAAGGTGCGGCAACCTGCCGTTGACCTCGCAAAGATGTTCGAACGCCGCAAATGCAACCATCGAGAGGCTATCCCTGGAGACGAATGCCTCTCGAGCGTAGTAGGTGCGCACCGTTTCATCCTTATGGTCCCTCCACGCAGGATCTAATCACTGTACCTACTCGCCAAGGGGACACTAACAAGCATCGGTATGTTGTCGCCACGCAATCGCAATCCCTGCGCAATGGACTGCGCATCATACCTGCGGTACCTGTAATTCGCATAAATCGCGCAGTCATGGTACTCGAGCCACCGAGTGAAGCTACACTGAAAGCCAAGGAGCTGGTAGGAGGTGTCAAAATACAATCAGGTCTGAACTTAACGTTGCTACTAGACTGAGGAGCAATCCCTTCGTCCGTCCGCCCCAGAGCTTGCTACCGTACCCCAAGATAAACCAATGCCAAAGAAGAGGAAGGGTCCAAAGGGGCCCAATCCTCTGAGCGTCAAGAAGAAAAAGAATCCAAATCCAGCAGCCTCTGCCCGACCTTCGCAAAAAACCAAGGCCGAGTCATCAGACACTCCATTGAGCACTACTCAATTCCCAGGGCAAAAACGGAAACGTGATTCTCAGGAAGATAAGCGCGAAGAACAGAGTGTAGAAATGACCGATGCAGCTCAGAGCATTACCTCGACCAGGACGAGGAAAAGGCGTAGAAAGGCTCCTGCCGTTTCATCTCCATCATAGTAGTACATGCTAGTTATCATCTTAATACAATTCATCCGACGAGGTCGACTTCAAACCGAGTTACCGCAAATCTTGTTATTCCACTGCAGCAAGACATACGTTCGAAGTATCATGTAAAGTGTGCAGGTCATGATACAATATTCGAAATCCAAAGGTATACCACGACAACGCTCAAAACTAACAACCACCACGAAGACGAAGAACAAGGTGCAAAGTACTCTCCTTCTGAATGTTATAATCAGAGAGCGTACGACCGTCTTCCAACTGCTTTCCTGCGAAGATAAGGCGTTGCTGGTCAGGAGGAATGCCTTCCTTGTCCTGAATCTTTGCCTTCACATTGTCGATAGTATCGGATGACTCCACCTCCAAGGTGATGGTCTTCCCCGTGAGGGTCTTGACAAAGATCTGCATGCCTCCGCGAAGACGCAAGACCAAGTGAAGGGTGGACTCCTTCTGAATGTTGTAATCCGAGAGCGTGCGACCGTCTTCCAACTGCTTTCCAGCGAAGATAAGGCGCTGCTGATCAGGGGGGATGCCTTCCTTGTCCTGAATCTTCGCCTTCACGTTGTCGATGGTGTCGGATGATTCCACCTCCAAGGTGATGGTCTTACCCGTGAGGGTTTTGACAAAGATCTGCATGCCACCACGGAGACGTAGCACGAGGTGAAGGGTGGATTCCTTCTGAATGTTGTAATCAGAGAGAGTGCGGCCGTCTTCCAACTGCTTTCCGGCAAAGATGAGACGTTGTTGGTCAGGAGGAATGCCTTCCTTATCCTGAATCTTCGCCTTCACGTTGTCGATGGTGTCGGAGGACTCCACTTCCAACGTGATGGTCTTACCCGTGAGGGTCTTGACGAAGATCTGCATCCCTCCGCGGAGACGCAAGACCAGGTGAAGGGTAGACTCCTTCTGAATGTTGTAATCCGAGAGCGTGCGGCCATCCTCGAGCTGCTTGCCAGCGAAGATGAGACGCTGCTGGTCTGGAGGAATACTGCGACACAACCGTCAGCTGCAAGTCTCAATCTCTGAAACGCATACATACCCCTCTTTGTCTTGGATCTTGGCCTTAACGTTATCGATAGTGTCAGCAGGCTCGACCTCTAACGTAATGGTCTTGCCGGTAAGGGTCTTGACAAAAATCTGCATCCTGTAAACTCATCGTCAGCCTCACATACATGTAGAAGTTAGCGATCAGACTCACCTGAAGTTGAGAGTAGGTTGTGAGGATTGGTGAGACCCTAAAGCTGATGACACCTCGCTTATATACACTGCGGAGCGGAGTTTAAATAACCCCATACACACTGGCCACAGCCCGCTTCTTTGTGGTAGTGTCAGGTGCACCGCCAACAGGGTATACTTACAGCATCCTTTCCCGAGTTGAAATATCTGTTGAGCCCACATTTTTGCTGAAAGATTATTTTTACTAAACATTTTGTGGACCGCCCAAGTCAATTATTCCTGGTTCAATCTTAATCGATTAATCCTTGAGATCCAGCTTCCTTATAACCACGCATTCTGAACGAGTCAACTCATTCATCATACCACAGCCTGATGGTCAGATCTTTCTCCATTGAAGCAGAAGCCATGATGTTACGAACAGGATGAGTCTGAGCGGTGAGTTCAGTGTATGACAAGCTTTTGCTGAAGCTTTTCTTACCGCAATTGCTAAGACAGCATCTGCGCAAAGAACATCAGCCACTGAACACAGTAGAACTAAAGAAATGCACCTCTGTGGCCTTCAAGGACTTGTAGCACTTCGCGACTCTGCAAGTCCCATACATATATTTTTGCGTCCTCACTGCCACTCACCACGTATAATCCTCGAGTGGTACTGAAGCAAGTGAACAGACAATATGTCCTGTTGGTATGACCAGTGTACGTTTTGACGCAACGTGTCTTCTGGTAGTCCCAAAGTCTGATTGTTGAGTCCTGGGTTGCTGATAAAATAAATTTCGAGTTCGGAGAGAATTTGACGTGTGAACTGAGAGCACCGAGTCAGTACCACGCGAAAGAATGACGGAAAGCATTCACCATATAGGGTTATCGTCATCGACAATTGTCTTCAAACACTGTCCGGACTCAGCATCCCAAATTCGTCTAGATTTCGTCAGAGAAAAACCTCGCCATAGCCTGATGTACTCACATCAGTCCATCCATCGCGCAGGATACTATGAGCGTTCCGTCGTGATTAAAACTGACAGCAGTCACAGGATCAGAGTGGGCAGGAAGAATCTTTAATGATTTCCCTGGTAACGTTCGGCTGATATTCAATGCGTAAGTCAAATTGACGGACCTCTTGCTACGTCCCAGACGCGAACAGTTTCATCAAATCCCCCGGTGACCAAAAGATTAGATCTGGGGTTGAAGTTAACGCAGAAAACGAAATTTGTGTGCCCTAGGAGGGTTTTCACAGTAGAATTCTGAAATAAAAGGTTTAATGATAGGCAGGACCGAAGTAGAGGCAGCGCACCGTCTCTAAACTCCAAAGTATGATACTCTTATCGTCCGATGCGGAGGCAAGAAATTCCCCATCGTTGGACCAGGCGACATCATTAACACCCTCAGTATGACCTTCGAAAGTTCTCAAGATCTCTCCTGAGTATGCATCCCACAGCTTTACCAGTTTGTCGGCGGCTTGCTTGCAAAGTTTTCAGGGTCAACAGCGTGCAACAAATTAGCAGGACGAAGAGGCGCACCTGACGATGCAAGCATGGTGCCATCTGGACTGAACTTGAGGGAGGATATTGCCATAGTGTGTCCGCTCAGAATGTATTTTACTGCATATTGTGGCCTCGATCTATTTGTGTTCGGCATTGTCGCATCTGGAACAGGAGTAGACTGTATGCGCCCGTTCGGAAGATGATGATCTGAAGTTGTTTCCTCGACCCCTTCGTCTGAGCTCTCATTTGACACGACGGCGTCGATTTGTGAGGTGTCTCCGTTAGCCCCGTTCATCGAGCAATCGTCTTCGACGGCCATGAGCAACTAGAAAGTTGCTGGGTGAATAGAATGTGAGTCCTCAGTCTGATAGCAATACGTACCTGCACATATAGTACGAAGAGGACTCTAGATCAATTAATCGAAGTGTTTCAGTCCCGGTGTCTGGGGTCTATCAACTTTTTAGTTTTTGCTCTTCCACTACACATATCCTTCAAAAACAACGCGGCAATGGCAGCAACAGCAGCGTGGCTTTCCCCTCCTTCACGGACAGAGCTTATTGAAAATCTGGTATCCGGTGTTGGTGTGTGATTGTTAATTATTTACTGTCGATCTTGCACTCATGCAATCCCAGACCGTTACAACCCATCAAATGTCGGTATTCTCGAGGATTACCTCTACCACCAGATCCGCAGCGAGGAATATGACTGCCTTGCTAACCTGGCTATCTTGAAGCTGTAAGTTCTATATGATTCATCTTGGAAGCTCAAATATCGATACCTTGGTCTCAGCTACCAATTCAACCCTGACCTCTTCAATCCCGACGTGGTGATTAATATCCTCCTCAAAGCTCTTACAGCGGAGCCTTTCCCAGACTTCAACCTCTGCATATCTCTCCTCGATGACCGACCGCCAAACTCTACGCTCGACGAGCCCGACCCATTACCTACGCTCCTGCCACTCCTCATGAATCTCTACAACCTTCTTCACCAGTGTCGTTTCTCTGCGTTTTGGGTCCTGTACCGGTCCGATGATTTGGAGGTTATAAGAGAGAATTATACAGTGGAGTGTGCAGGATTCGAAGATGCCATCCGGGAAGTCGCCGCACGATCAGTCAGGGCTACTTTCACGCGGATCAGCAGTGAGAGGCTGGGAACCTATGTAGATCTATCAGGTTTGTCATGAGCCATGTATCACTTCTGTCCAGCTGTTGATATTGTTTTTATAGGACCAGAGCTAGAGGCTTGGGTCGCAAAACAGCGATGGACATTTGATTCATCGACTGGTGTGGTCAGCATACCACCAAACCCTGACAATCAGATTGAATCGGTCGTCATTCAAGAGCACATCAAGCTTCCACGTGAGTTTTCATTTGATGCAATTTTTGGACCGCGGTCAATCTACTTGATTATTTGTAGAGCTCAGCAAGGTCATTTCGCATACTGTACAGGTCAAATGATGACTTGACCCGACAATATTCGTGTACATTGTACATTAGCCACTTAATATGATGTCGATGGATGTGATGCAACTTGGACGATGATATGTATAGCTATAGTACATATTTGTGTGATACAGCGGGAAACACAAGTAGAACGTCAGAACATGAAGCTTGAGATTCAAAGGGCAATAATGAAGTACCAAGAAGACATCCGTCTGTGTATTTCTTCGAGACCGACGAAAATTTCACGCTGCCCAAAATGCAGCAAGCGTCCCCCAAGTTGCCATCACAATGGCTATTGCGAGCAATGAAACATCAACCAAACCATACCTTCCCTCAAGGGCGATTTTGGCTGATATAGGACCAATGACGCAGATCACGAAGGCTGAGAATGAACCAAGGAAGGCCATAAGGGAGCTAAACTCCGGAACGAGGATCGACACCAAAATAGACAGCGCGGGGATAGATACGCGCCCGACAATGAAGAATACGCGATTCAAAAGTTGACGGGCAGTAGAAAGCTGAGTGTCTAGCTGGGGTTTGACACCACCCTGAAACGGCGTATGATTATCTATACCGAGCATGATTTCGAGGATGACATTGAGCTAGACAAAAGCATATCAGTATTGAGTCCTCTAGGAGTGCATATCGCTCACTGGCCGCGTGCTGAGAGGAAACTTTGTGCTGTTCACGGAAGTTTCAGTGTCAGAAAAGGAGGGGAGTTGCTGAAACTCACAGAGGAGTTGACACCAACGTCCATAGTGCAATTTCGTTGATCCATGAGTTATAACCAGGAGTGCTCATGAGGTCCTTACTGACCTAGATGCGCCGTCAATGTCTCAGGTCGTCATCCAAAAGTTGAGATTATAAGGCTCACCTCGTCGCTCACGTTTCGTCCGAACATCAAGTACCCAGCATAACCAATAACCCCATAGATGAATGTGGTAACGACCTATTGAGGATCGGGAAATGGTGAACAACAAACTAAAAACGCCGTAGCAAATCCACTCACGAAAGCCCAGTTGATCATGTTATTAAACTCGGAAGGATCAACCATGTCACGAGCCAATGATGGTATTACAGCATGGCCAGAGAACTAAAACATTGACAATGAGTGACATGTCTCGGGAATCGCATGCAAGATGAGACATACGCCAGCCATTAACAAGCCAAAAGCAACTCCAAGCTCTGTCATAGAGCCAGTCCCCCACGACGTTGCGGCCGGACTCCAGAGACTGCCAGGAGCATCTGGCTTAGAAAAGCCATCTATGAAAATGACAAGAATGATGAGGAGTGTCGAACAGATGCCAAGGATCGAGGTATAAGAGAGTATGGACAGCGGTAGAAAAACCAGCGGTACCAATCTATCATTTAAAGGGTCGAGAAACCATGAGAAGTGTGTCGGCAGCATCAGGAAGCAACACTTACACGACAATGGATGCGATTTTAAACGTGTCTGAGGAATACGCTGGCATGACTTCGTGCATAGGAGTCAGCGGCTAGAGTGACGAAAGCAACACTAAAGATACATCAAACAATGTGACCAAGTCTCATTTAGAAAACACGCTGACCCGACGGCAAAAAGTTCAAGACAAAACATAATCGTGGTCAGGGCGGTCGACTTGGGACCAAACGCCTTACGACCAATGTCGGCGTATGACCTCAAACGAGGGTCCTCCAAGATGATACCAGCAAGAATCTTAGCACTGTTGTATGCGGTGAGTTGGAGAGCATGGTTAAAAAGTGCGAGTTCAACTGACGTATAGCAATTCAAGAAGCCCATAAACACGATGAGAGCCGTTCCACCGATCCAACCAGCATATGCGAAGGCCAGGGGCTCGGATAGCATTCCTATGCCCAGTAATATCGCGATACTGTTGAATAACTGAGCGATTAACCTCACTTAGCAGAGACATTTGCGATCAGATAACAACACCTACTGTCTGCCCGTAGGTACTTTGTCCTCCGTAATTGTGTGGTTTCCTCAGGGTAACCGACGACTTGCGCCGTAGTAAAGACCGATCTGTTGGGATGCGTGACTCTTCACCGACGTAGGCATCTGAATCAGATCCCCCATAACTGATTTGATTACTGGATGTGGAAGATGCTTTAAGTAAAGGAGCAGCTTCATCACTGGTTGATCGAGCGAGTTGACTTCCGCCAGCAGCAGTGATTTCCCGTGTATCAACAGGCCGCCGGGGGATAAAAGTTCGTGCAGGTTGCAAGACTGGACGCGACGATTCGTCCCAGTCCCACAACTCTGTCATGTCATCCCTGGGTATTGGAGTTAACTCGCCTTCCTCGTCGTCTTCTCCAAGGTAAGCCTCTTCATCCGACTCCTCGTCAGAAAAATGAGCGTTATATGGTATATTTGAACTGGCAAAGAATTGCGAGCGACGGTCTGCATTTAGAGTGAGACTAACTGTAGACCAGTAGGAGCAATTTCAGCACTCACATGAAGCGATAGCATCCCTCATGCTGCCTGAAGAACTAGTCACAGAGCCATAATTGAAGGGTATTCCTGCACCCGATGTGTAGGACGTCATCTTTGAATCTAAGACACTGTTATATCAATAATGTGTCAATGACAAGAGCATAAACTTTCAAACTTTGGTCGCGCGCGGCCGTGAAAATACTAGTGACAGAATAATGAACAGTTAGGGTCCACGGGAGATCCGGGCGAAAGCTGAAGGATTGATCAAATTTATGTTAGTCAGGAACCAGCTCCAAGAAATTTTATTCAATTGATCCTTCCATATGAAAGTTTCTGACGGCCGAACCGGCGAGTTCTATGTATGATATTGGCGATCACCATAGGAAAGTCGATTCAAAGACTAAAAGTTAACGTTACTGATCAATTGATGGTAACGAAACACATGGCCAGAAGCGCTCATGGTGGTGGCTTCAGGACCCCTACTAAGGACACCTCCGGGCAAAATTTGTCGCTAGGACTTGTCCGGACTAGGTTAGGAGTGGCCAGTCTGTGGGTGGTCCGGAGGCGGATGCTGAGACCTGAGGAGGTGACCCCCCTTTCGGACTCCGGTAGACAATGGGGAACGAAAAAAAAATTAAAATTTTCGTGTTCTTAATGAAATTTTGCTCTGGGCTCGCTCTGTGACCCCCGGCAATTGTACGCTATAGTAGCTAATCTAATCATCATCTTATTTCCGCTGTTGAGCGCTCAAGAAGCCTGATGGCGTGACACTGGTGAATCCGGACGAATTCAATGGTGATGGTGATTTCCAATCTTTCGATACAAAGTCGAAGAAAGCCGACGATGATTAGTTAATTTATTTTAACGAATCTGCAACAAATGTTCTGCGGTACAGTACTAGATTTCCATTCGGCTGATAATGTTTCTGATCTATGTCGGAGGTCCCCAAGTTAGAAGTGGGGAGGGGCAGTCCTATCAAGGGTCCTGTGGCTTCCCACTGACCTTCAATTGTTAAGCAATTTCATTAATTCTGCAGATCGTGTATACACGCACAATTTCAAACAATGGCAAAACCCGATTGAGTTTCTCTCCGAACGTCGCTCATCCCAAATGCATCATGATTCTTGATATGACAATTAATCTCTTTTAAATCATTCATGTAGGCATGTCTTTTTCCAGACCAGTTGGAAATTTTGTTTCTGGTCGTTATCCTGCTCGTCTCGCGATATTTGACAGCACATTTCCAGAATCCAGTTCCAGGAATATGTCGGAAAGTTCCGAACCCTATAGAGATATGATTTTAGTCGGTTTTGAAGTCCGCGGCCTGTTGTTCACATTCCTGCCGTTGATGCTTGTCGTTTTCTAACTGAATTCTCGGTGTTAGGAGATCAAGAACTGCTTGATATGGTTCTTGAACCTTTGCAATTGATTATTGCCTGAACTTCTCCGCTTTGGACAAGCATGTCACAGTTACAAGAGTCGATCTAGTCAAGACTCGTGGTTCAAGACACCATGGGGAGCATGTTACTGGCAGGCCGAGTCGATATGCTCCCAGCAATGCTCCCCATGCACCAATGATGACCTATCGGTAGTAGACGGTTATCCTTAATCTACCATAGGCAGACCAATTGAGAAGAAAGGCAGTGGTTCCTTCTATCAAGACAATACCGAAATGGTAGCAGGTGCTGGCATGTCATATGGCGCTATTGGGTTACTTCTAACATTAATGTAATGCAACATTAAGCTGAAGCGAACGTATCGAGTAAAGTCTGGGGGTCTTTTCATTGTGAATGCCTTGGGGGTGTCCTCAGAGACTTTGCTGGCTCAGGGTTGGCTCAGGGTTTGAAGCTGTTCGAAGGAACTGAGTAAGGTCCGACTGATAACGGTGTACCATGAACTCGGGCACTGATCACTCGTTTGAAGTTGTTCGAAGGAACTGAGCAAGGTCCAACTGATAACCGGGTATCATGAACTCTGTTTTCACTCTATATACAGTAGGTTAGTTCTCGATTGCTTTTCAAACTGCGCTCTATTATGGTTCATCGAAAGGCTCTCCCGAGTGCATCATCGCATGCTTTCATTGAATACAGCATGATGCCGAACGGCAAAGGTTGCAGCGTTGAAGGGCGTAACACCGCCGCAACCTCAAGGAATGGGATGTTTACATAACGCCACGTACGTACGTTATACTGAGTTAACAGCTCTTCGATTTGTCCACATCATGTAAGGCTCGCGAGATACGTCGTGACCAGAAGATTTGGTTCGAGTGCTGCGTCTGGCTTCAGGAAGCTTTGCACTTATGTTGAGATCCTGCTCATAGTGATTAGACAGCGATGATTGTCGAGATCTCTGGTACCTACAGAGATGCGTTTGCGCATGCCAGGAGCGATATGACACCACCACTTTATGAACGAATTCTTCAGGGCTAGTTCCCGGACACCCTTGGGGTTTAGCCAAGCAAGAAACTCATCAAGCTGCGAAGCCAGAGAGTCAACGACGGTCAACGAAATGCAAGCGAAAGGAGATTACCTCCTCAGGCTCAGCATACTGTGCCCACTCGGACGGAGCCAACATCCCCTCTGGCCCTTCTTCTTCAAGTCTTCTAGCTTCATAGTCATCATCATCCCTCTTTAACATCAACTCCAAATCCATCTCGCTCGGGCCCTGTATAAAGATTCGACCAGTTCCGTACTGGACAACACCTCCACTACCCAGCAAAGAAGCAGATCCCATGCCGTCGAACCACCAAATCCGATTATGGAACCGGTCCTTTCCCAATGGTTTGATTCGCACTGCACCAAGTAGCTTCCTGAACTCTCGTTCAATCGCCTCTAATCGACGCTCGAGCTTATTAACCTCCTCATCAAGTCTGCGATGTTCTGCCAGTGCTTGCTTCGCAGAGGCTGCCTGAGCGCGAGCAAGTTCTCGTTGCTTCGCGTGTGCCTGAGTGTGGGCTTTCTGACGAAGATCTTTCTGACGCGCTGATCTCTTTTGGCGAGCACTAGAAGTAGATGCGGTCTCCGAGCCATCTTCTGAAGGAACGTCCGAAAGATCACTGGACTCATGCATCGTGGTATCTTCGTCTGGAACGATGCCGTTGGTTACGGGCTCCTTCACTTCCGTTTCCCCGGCAAGGGAATTCATTTCCTCAGTACTGAAAAAGGACGTTGAATGGAAATACCGCTGTGCGCCAAAGAGAACTCACTACTGCTTCTTCTGGCGGCCAATCTCTATTTTCTCCTTGCGTAGGGCAGTGAGCTGCTCTTCGCATGACTCCATATGTGAATGAACTGCCTTGCTTGATACAGCAAGATTGCACATCAAGGTAAGGATGTCAATCCTATCGGCAGGAGGCAGCGCATAGTAACGCTCGCTGGGTGAAGATTGAACAGATAGGTTGTTTGCGACAGGACTTGAAACACGAGAACTTGACGACGATGACGAAACTTCTGCGTGTGGTTCCGGGGCAAAGAGTAATCTTGTCAAGACTTCTCGCAGGCGAGGAAAGTTGTCGAGTGTGGCATGCTATCAGAAATGAGTATCGAATATGAACAACAGGTTGAGATCACCCTACATCTTTCAGGCATCCAAGAAGAGCCTCCTCCCACCCATCTCGCATCTCAGTGTGCCGTAAGGGGATCCGTTCCCAGTTATTCCCCACGTCAGCCATGGCACCAGCTAATTCATCGACTGAAACACCAAGCACTCGGTGGTCTTCTTCCAGTGTATCTTGGAGACGCAGTAACGACAGGACAGCACTATGCCGAGTAAATGGTACTGTGCGTAGGTTATAAATGAGCGTTGAGTGGATCTCGCCTAGTAGTGCACAAGGCGGGTCTACGAGGGAATGCCGCAAAGCATGTTCAAACTCGTCCATCGTAAATGTTGACAAGTGGAGAGGTTGTCTGCGTCAGACGGTTAAGTATTCGTATGTAACCATTTGCGATTGTTCACTCACCCATAAATGACCAGGAAATTCCATGACGTTAAAAATGCTTCAAAAGTACCCTGATTCTCGCCAAACGGAAGTCCCAATTTGCTCGGTGTCGGCTTTTTGACCTTCAAACCTGCTTTCTTCTCCTTGTCGTTAAGCCGAACGTCTAGATCTTCAGTAGGGTAGCGAATGGGTTTCTTTTTCTTCTTTTCTGCAGCCAGTCGCTCAGCCTCTTCTTTTGCCTTTTGTTGACGCTCTGCCTTTTCACGAGCTTCGCGCTCTCGCTTTTCAGCTGCAACAGCTAAGGCTTTCACTGTTGCAGTAATTAGCACCGGGTATTATCCAAAATAGAGAAATGTTACCTCTTTCCTCCTGAGCAGCAGTCATCTTCTTCTGTTTCTTGGTTGGTGGTCCTTCCTTGTCCTCCCATATTTTTTTACGCTTATCAATCTCACCACGTTTGATGTCTTCAACACCTTTGCGTGTTTCCTCTGGCATCACAGAGTCGACACCATAGTGCTTCGCGATGACCTGTTTTACTGTCCATGGCGAGGCGACGGCAGCATCACGATCAACACAGTCACGGATAAAGCGACGAAGAATAGACTTTGAGAATGCAAGACGATCGCGGCTACAACAAGACGTGGTCAGTTTTGTTCATGCTGGGTTAACGAGGGCCACAAACCTCATGACACTGCACTGCACATCCATGAAGCTACCACTCCATTTAGCTTTGTCTTTGGATGCAGCCTTTCCTTTCTCGTGACTCTTCTCGTGTTGCTCTTCAAGTATCTGAACCTTGTATAAGTACTTCTGGGGGTCGTCGCGGACCAATGCTTCCTTCGCTGGGACCTTCAAGTCTCCACCAATCTTGTGGATTTGAACTGCGTCATCATCAGCAATTTCGTGAGGCGGAGATGGTACTGATGAAGATGAGGCTTGATTCTCGACTGGGACACCGACGCTTTCACCCTTGGTCTTCGAGGGATGCACCTGCACAACTTTCGCGTAGAACCTGGCGAAATACATGTCAGTTACCAGGTAGAAACCTTAGGTGTAATACACGAACTTGTCGCCTTGCGCGTCAACGAACACCTCTGACGTCGCGTGAAAGCATGGGATGAGTACCAGGGTAAATTAACGTTAACAGACCAACTTACTCTCATCCACAAAATAGCGGTCCTTGAACCGGTCAAAGACAGCTTCTACGAGGTGGTCTAGTCGACCTACGACCTCTACAGACGACAGATATGATCAGCGTTCGAGCCCAGCAGAGTTGAGAGAAGACGCACGCCATTGAACAGCCTTAAGGACAGCGGCTTTCAAAGGCTCAGGGAACCTGGAGTGCATAGTCTGTGCCTCCTGTTGTTCGCTTTCAA